CTGCTGCAGTCACCAGCACTGGGGACAGCCAACTGTGTGGAGCTGATGAATATGCAGATAGAGGCCGCAGCTGGTTGGCTGCAGGCCCCCTCCCCACCAGATGCCCAGAAAAGCCAGCCAGAGAGGACCTTTCTGAAATGCCATCTCTTCTGTCCTTGCCTGAGGATCCCCAGAGCCCCTGAAAGGTGAGGCCTGAGCCCCCTACCCTGCCTCTCCCTTGGCCTTGATCCCCAGCGGGAGCTTGCTTCTGACCTTTGCTTCCAAATCCTGCAGGGAGACCTCTCCAAGGAGGGGTCTTTTCCCAGCCCCCTACTCCCCAAGGAGGGAGGCCGCAAAGGTCTGAGCACTGTGGGAAAGGCTGTCCTGACCTCTGGGTTTTTTGCTTGTTTGGGGGACCATATTCCTGGATTGCTCAAAATTTACTTCTGGCAGGCTTGGGAGACTTACAGGATGCTGGGGACTGAACCCCGATTGGCTGCGTGCAAGGCGAGAGCCTTACTCGCTGTGCTATTACTCCAGCCCCAGTCCCTGGCCTCTGGAAGAACTAGGGGAACTCACCAAACCCGTCCATGCCTCCCACATCCTTTCCCTTCTTGCCGCCTTCTCCTTTCATTTGGGAAGTGTCATCAATGTTACAGTATTAATCAGGAAAACCAATGAATGACAGTTCAGCATGGGACAACCCAGAATACCATGTTGAGTGACTGAGACAAGTCCTGGAATGAAATGGCAACTGTGATTCCATGTATGTTGTCTTTAAAACTAGGTCAGACAATATCCAGATTTTTCACTGTGAGTTCATGAGTGTGCTATTACAGCTGAATAGGGAGCTATCTAGAGACAGACAGAATTGAGGTATCAGGAGTAGCACAAACAAAACAAACACTGCCCTCCCGTTGTTCATCGATTTGCTCGAGTGGGCCCAGTAACATCTCCATTTTGAGACTTGTTGTTACTGTGTTTGGCATATTGAATACGTTCCAGGGAGCTTGCCAGCCTTTGCCGTGCAGGCAAGATACTCTCAGTAGCTTGCCGGGCTCTCCAAGAGGGGAGGAGGAATCAAACTCGCGTCAGCCATGTTGGCCGCTTGCAAGGCAAACGCCCTACCCACTCAGGGGTCATATCCAGCTAGGCTAACAGCTGTCCCACTGTTCCTTCATAAAATTAATCCTTTTTTGGCTATATTAATCAAGTTAGTACGAGGTCTAATTTTATTCAGTGTTGGAGAAATATATCTAAGGGAATATGAAAATGTGGACAGTTCTGAAACCTTTTAACTTAAAACAAATGGTTAACTTAAAACAAACACGCTCAGATTGCCTCGGGTTCAATCTGAGGCATCCCATCTCTCTTTTGTGCTATCACAAAAGGAATATATATAGGACATGCTTCCTATTTTTAATTAAGTTAATTAGGAGGGGGTTGGGGTCATATCCAGCTAGGCTAAGGGCTTATTCCTGACTCTGGGGAGTCATTCCTAGTGGCACTCAGGTACCAGGGTTTGAACCAGGGTTGGCTACATGCAAGGAAAATGCCTCACCTCCTGTGCTGGATCTCTAGAGTAAAAATGTTTAAAATTTTGCTTTCTCTTTTGAAGCCTACCAGAGACCTACGTTGATACACGTCTCTTCATAACTACCCAGTAGGTTTTAATACATAATTTCCGTGGCCTGGGAGCCACAAACACAGAAGGGCAAGTTCATTGTGAACGTACTTTGGACTCAACAGAGGCTCATATAAGAACCTAAAGCAAATCCACGCTAACCTTTATCCTCTGCTTACTGAATACCGCAGAGTAGCAGACACTGCATTTTGTGTAGGGGATTGAGACAATGGAACATCAAGTGTGGCTGCAGATCTTCCCAGAATACGATAAACATGTACACACAAGCCCAGCCAATGCGTAGGGAGACAGCTCTGGGGTTAGCGAGGGACTGAAAAGAGATTTAGAGGATGATTATCAGTCCTTAGGCAAACAGGAGTTAGGGATAGATAGCTACACAAAGTTGTCAGAGAGGGCCAGAGTAATAGTACCATGGGTAGGGTGATTCCAGGTTCAATCTGAGGCATCCCATCTCCAAGCCTTCCAGGAGTGATCTCTGAATGAGAACCAGGTGTGACTTCTGAGTATTGCAGGATTGCAAGCTGCGACCCAAAAAGAAAAAGAAAAAAAAAGAAATCCAACCAAACAAAAAAAAACCTCAAGTTGTCAAGGAGAAAAAAGAGCGAGCACTTTGGGGAGGGACTGGAGAGAGGGTGACTGGAGCACACCTGAGGAATGGGGGTACGGGAAGGGGAGGAGGGGTGAGGGGGTCACAACCAGGTTATCAATGCCAGGGCAAGTTTCAGAGGTTAGAATTTATCTGAAGACTGGGAGGAGGCTGGAAAGACTTTAAGCAGGGGTGTGATTCCATTAGATTTGCATATCATGAGGATCTTTGCACCTGGAGTGAGAGGTTAGGAAAATGAGGGGAGCCCAGGGTGGTTAGGGAGTAACTCAGACGGGCTTTCTCGTCAAGCCCACCTTCTCCCTTGGACAGGTATCTTGCATGCTTGTCTCAGTGTTTTTCTGCTTGCCTGTTTCCACTCTGGAGAAGCCTGTGCTCTCTCCTGAACAAGCTCTTCTCCCTTTCTCTCCTCTCACAGCTTTCTAATTAAGTTTCAATAAAACCTTTCTTGTTTTGTGCGCATGCACACACACACAGACACAGAGACACACAACACACGCGCACACACACAGACAGGGAGACACACACACGTGATCCCTGAGTGCAGCCAGGAGTAACCCCTGAGCATCCACTGGGTGTGGTCCAAAAATGAGAAAATAAAGGAACCCAGATGCTGAATGTTGAATTTCGATCATGGGCAGCCCCAGGCCAGGGTGTTTCCTTGGTGTCTGGTTAGGGCCAGCCCATCCCTCCAGAAGGCCTGTGGAAGAAATGCTGGCTGTGAGTTTAAAGGCCCGGTGGCTTAAAGGCCCGGTGGGTCAGCCAAAATGACTCAGCTAAGGAAACCCACGGCCCAGGCTCTGACTTTGCCTGACAGGGGCTGTGGGTGCTGTGCCTGGCAGCTGTCCCACTGTTTCTTCATAAAACTAATCCTTTTTTGGCTATATTAATCAAGTTAGTACGAGGTTTAATTTTATTCAGTGTTGGAGAAATATATCTAAGGGAATATGAAAATGTGGACAGTTCTGAAACCTTTTAACTTAAAACAAATGGTCAAGCTTTTTTTCTATCTTCTAAATTATGATATCTGTTTTTGTTTTGCTTTATTTTGATTTTGGAGTCACACTCAGCTGTGCTTAGGGATCATTCCTGGTGGGCTCAGGGGACTAATACCATGTGCCTCTAATTGAACCTGGGTCAGCTGAGTGCAATGTAAAGGCCCCACCTGCTGTAAGATCTCTCTGGCTCCTGAAACAGTTTTTTTTTTTTTTGCATTTTGCATTTTGGGTCACACCTGGCGATGCACAGGGGTTACTCCTTGTTCTGCACTCAGTCATTACACGTGGCAGTGCTCAGGGGACTATATGGGATGCTGGGAATTGAAGCCAGGTTGGCCGCGTGCAAGGCAAATGCCCTCTCTGCTGTGCTATTGCTCCAGCCCAGTACAGTATTTTTAAATGTAAACATTGTGATCAAACGTGGTGTTTTGTTGCTTTATTGTTTATTTGGGGCCATACCTGGTGATGCTTTCCAGAGGAAGATGGTGGTTGGGCTGGGGCAGGGCTGTGAGCTATCTTTGGTCCCCCTGTTTCCATATGCAACATTCCTCCCACCCTCTTAAAAGAGAAAACCAACAAAAGCAAGCAAGCTCCAAGAAGCCCACTCATTCCCTGCATCCCCCCTCCATTTCCCCTCCCACCCCAAAGCCTTCCAAATGCAAGGCTTGAGTATATGCCTGGTCCATCCTCAGTGCATTCTCCCAGAAGAAACCCAGCTGCAGACCGAGAAGCTATTTTTCTTACACATTCATTTAGGTTTTTGGGCCATACCCCATTGTGCTCAGGGCTTAATCCCCCGGTGGTGCTCCGGATGCACTGCAAGGTAAGTAAGTACCCTCCCCACTGTGTTATCTGTCCTGTTCCACGCTTTAAAAAGCTGGCACAAAATCTGCTCACTTGTGGCATGTCCATTTCCAACCCACACCTAACTCATGCTCAGCTCTAAGTTCAGGGGAGACGTTCAGCGACCCACCTAACCCGGTACACTTACATCCTGGGGTAACGTGACAACTCTCCACGTATTTGCACAGCACATGTAGAGAACAATCAGCTTGTTAGGAGAGAGTGAGTAATGATTAGGGAAGCGCGGCTGTTTGTGAAGATCTGCTCCGTAAAATGACAGTGGGCTGCGCTGGAGAGATAGCGCAGGGCTTAAGACACTTGCCTTGCACGTGCCAATAGATCCCAGGGACAGGATATATCGGTCCCCCAAGCCTGCCTTGCAGGCGTGATCCCTTGAGCGCAGAGCCAGGAGTAAGCCCTGAGCATCACGGGGTGTGGCCGGGGGTGAAAAAAAAAAGACCGCGAAGTGTTCCGGGTTCTGGAGACAGAAATAAATGCCTGGGGCTTAAAAAAAATTTTTTTTTTTCGTTAGTGGCTCCCGAGGCCAAAGAGGGCAACGGCACGTGCCCAAGGCCACTCATGTGTACGCTCAGGCAGGCTTGACTGCCAAGGTCGAAGTCCGCAGCCCGCGCGCGCTCTTCTGGGGCGTGCAGAGCCGGGGCGCGGCGCCCCGGGGTCCCGGGGGGCGCACGGCGGCGGGTCCCGAGCCAGGTCGGGGCTGCGGGGGCCGCACGCAGGCGCGGGCTGACCTCCGGGAGGCCGGGCCGAGGTTGCTGGGGGGGGGGGAGGGGGGGGCAAGCTGCGCCCCGCCCCGCCCCCCGGACCCCGTGCGCGCGCGCGCGCGCCGCCGCCCCCCGCGCCGCGCCCGCCGTGGTTCGCTCCGCACCCCCCGGGCCCGCGCGGTGCCGCGGCCCAGCCCACTTCCGGCGCCGGCCGGGCCCTATATCCGGTGTCCGCCCGCCCTCGGCTCTGCCGCCGCCGCCGCCGCCACCGCCGCGATGCTGTCCCGGTCCCGCTGCGTGTCCCGGGCCTTCAGCCGCTCACTCTCGGCTTTCCAGAAGGTACGGCCCGGCCGCGCCTGACCCCGCAGCGCGGGAGAAGCCGGCCGGGGGCGGGGGCGCACGGGTGGCTCGGGAGGGCAGGGGCGAGGCGCGCTGGCCAGGCCGAGCACCAAGGGCACCGGGACGCGGAGGCCGCGGGCTGGGCCGTCCCGGGCCGCCGTGGCCCCCACGGGGCTCAGCGGAGCTCGCCGGCGCGACTTCCCCCCCGCGGCCCCGCTCCCCTAGCCCCCCCGAGCCCCGCGCCCCGACTGTCCACTCCGGGATGCGACACTCGGTGGTGGAGGAGGAGGAGAAGGCGCCGCTGAGCCCATCCACCCCCAAGGGGCCCGACCCCCTCTCGGCGCTGAGTCAGTGGGTGGCAGCCCCTTGGGGAAGCGGAGATGGCCCGGCCGGCCCGTGCCATGGGACTTGAGCGCCCCGGCCGGGTTGACCACCTTCGCGGCGGCACCTGTCACCGACCCCGGGAGCCCGACAAACCCGGGCCTCTCCCCTCGTTACCCGCGCGGGTGACGTCGATCATGTCTGCTTTCTCAACAGGGGAACTGCCCTCTAGGGAGACGTTCCCTGCCCGGTAAGTCCTGCCCTTGTGGTCACCAAAAAGCCCCCACCCCCATCACCTCCTCCCCTCCGGGGACCCCCCTGCACCGCGCGCGGTTCAGCTAGAGACAAAGTGTCAAAGTGAAGAGCTGCGGGTTTCGCCGGGGAGTTACTGAGTTGCAGTTGCGCTGGCCTTGCCGCGGTGCTGGGCGCCTGCTGGGGGCACGACAGTGGAGCAGGTCTCAGTCCCGGAGCTGCTGACGGCCGTAAGCCCAGCGGGCGCTCAGAGTCGCAGGTGAGGGCAGAGAAGAGTAGGGGTGGGGGGCGGACAGCAGCGGCCTCCTGGACCGCGGGACCTTAGGGCTGTGACCCAAAAGGTGCGATGCAGGCTGCTAGCCCCCCCCAGGGGAGAGCCGGAGGAAAGGGCATGGTCTGTACGCAGTCCCCGAGGAAGGCAAGGACTTGGCAGGGTTTGGGAACTGGAAAAAAGGTGATTTGGCCGAGCATTTTTGGTTAAGGAAGAGAGTCGCTTGAGAGAGGAGTTGGTCATGGAGCCGGTTGCCAAGAGCTGAGATTTGACCCCAGTCATTCTCCCAGGGCTCGCAAAAATATTTGTCGAGTGAGTCGATCTTGATGTGGGTTTTCCGTGTGCCGGGCATTATCCCGAGTGCTTTCTGTGCAGTTTTCAGGTAAAGAAGCATGAAGCGGGTTTTCTCTTTTACAAGTGCCTGACCCAAGGCTAAGAGAGGTCAAGGTCATTTAGCTAACTGGAGTCAGCCTGCTACTCATCTGCGCCACAGATAATTTAGTGAGTTCTTATGCATTGCCGGCCCAGTGCTTGGTGACAGGGCTGCAGCTGGTCTGTCTGTGCCCTCAAGGATCATCTTTGGAGACAGCAGCCATTTATGCATACATGAGGCCAATAATTAGGCCGTGGTTGCCCTGACCGGAAATGCAGGTTGTAATGAGAGGGGCGGGGGTTATGTAGACCAGCTGGGGAATGCCATCAAAGCTCTCCTCTCCCAGGAAGGGACTCACCCCTCCCAACCCCCCAGTGGTGCTCTCAACCAAACCACAGAGCCTCCCAAAATAGAGGTTACTGAGCTATCTCCCTGGCCCCCGATATGCTGTTTTAAACCATGTTTTGGATAATGCCTAGAAGTTGGCCCAGACAACAGTATTGCAGGCAAGAGAGCATTGCTTGCTCTTAAGTTCCCAGGCAGGAAGAGATTTGGAAATGGAAAGGATGCCCACCTGGGTGGACCCACAGGGCTGGAGGGAATGTGTAAAGTTTTTGAACTAATTTCTAAAGAGTCAGGAGAGCATATAGACATCTAATCCAGGGCTAACTCAGTAATCAGTGTTTATTTTATTATTTTAATTGGGAATCCTGAAACAAATCAGTAAACATTTTCTCTGCTGTAGAGAGACTGGCGAGACAGTGGGATGATCCTTTCACGTGGGGTTTGCAGTGAGGGCTCGGGGCTCTAATCTTGGGCGATTCACGTCAGCTGGGGCCCTACCTCTCTTCGGAATAGGGAACGGCAGGTGGGAGTTTGACTTCAGGGAGCTGTGAGACACGAAAAATCAAAATGAGGTCATTATGTGAATGCTTTTTATAAACTCAGAAGCTCTGCATGGGTGAAAATGGCGGTGGGTGAGCCCTGGGTTGGACTCTGTGCTTGCTCCTGGCTGAGGGGTGTCGCAGAGACATTGGCTGGGCCCGGAGGGGACTCGCTGCGACCTGGGGGTGTTTGGGAGAAGGTGAAAACAAGAGCGCAGCTTTCCAATGGGTCTCTTTGGAGCTTTGTAGCCCAGAAAGTTCTCAACTGATCCAGAAACAAGGGCATAGACCCCTGAAAACATATGTGTCGGTGAGGTGGATGAAGTCATTAGTTATTGGTGTGGGGAGAGTAAAGTTATCTGTGGTGACCACCGTTAGTGGGGGTAGAAAGGGCCTCCCACCTTCTGAGTGATGAGGGCGAAGACAGTGAGTAAAGTGTGTGTTTGGGGGGTCCCCAATAACAATACTCTTAGTCCCAGAGACCCTGCAGATGGAGTCTAAGGAGCCCTAACTTTGCTGTTAGGGTTTGTGCATTAGGACTTCTAGGCTAGTGCACTGAAGTAACCAGGGAACCAAACCTAGATCCCCCACCCCACCCTCACCACCCCTTCACAGATTAGGCCACGTGCAGGCGCAGGATAAGCCCTCATGAGCCTTCATGACTCAGTTGGAGTTGAAGACTTGGGGGATAGACAATTTATTATGAAAACTTTAGAGATGGTAGAAGATTATGCATTTTTAAGGTAAATAAACATGAAAAAAATTGCTTCCGGCTGTGCCCTCGGAATTCTCCCCCTTTTTCACCACATGCCTATCCCCTGTCAAGCCCACGTGGGCGTTGTGTCTGCCACTTGTAACTGCCTTGGTGGAAAGGACTGAGGATCAGGGCTGTGTGCTTTAGAGTACCTTGTCATGGATAGTCTGTCCTGCCCCGTCTCCCGAGTTAGGGGAGGAACAGACTTCATTCCCGTTCCCAGCAGGGATTGTGTATAAGAGTCGTTGGTTAAGAGTTGTTTTGTTTCTTGCAGGGGTCTCCTTATGTCAGGGACCAAGTTACCCTGACAGCAGGAAGATTGTGTAAGTATCATTGGGGAGCACAGATGTGTTGCCATGGGGTATTTAAGGCACCAGTTCTGCATTTGACCTTGATTGCTTCTCTGAGAGAAGCCTAGGGAATGAAATGGTTCTGTCGGGTCCCTAGACCGACCCTTGATGGTCATTTATTATGTGCAAGGACCCTCCAGCTTCAGCCCGTGTCAAGTGCTGAGCCAGGTGTTTAGAGTATAGTGGAGGTGGACTTGGAACCCTCTTTCTCTGGGAATGGGTTTAGAAGTGTGCTTCTTAATAATCTGGTTGGATGCTAGAGCAGCTGAAAGGCAGAGGTTCCATGGAATGTGGAGATCAAGAGCATCCTCTTGGCAGCGTAGCTACTGGTTTGAGGAGCAATAAAAGCAGACTGAGCCGGAGTTGGGTCCTGGGGCTCTGACTAGTTGGAGGGAATGGTAGTGTTGCACACAGCCACCTGGGAGAAAAGCCTCCCACCAATGTTTTGGAGACACTTTGCTTGTTACTTAATTGCTGCTAATTTGCATTCCAACTATATTCTGGGTGGTGGTAAAAGGATGCTCTCTAGTAATCTGTTAAAGTCTCTCAACCTACTACTATCTCTTCCTTTGAAATGAAAGGTCCACAAATTAGCTCCTTCCTGGTGCATTACATCAAGTCTTTTTCTTTCTTTCTTTTCTTTCTTTCTTTCTTCCTTTCTTCCTTTCCTTTCCTTTCCTTTCCTTTCCGTCTTTGTCTTTTTGTCTTTCTCTTTCTTCTCTTTCTTTCTGGAGGGGTGGGGGAGAAGGATGCATTCAGTACTGCAGTATGAATTCCTGCATTATTTTTGGAGGCCAATTTGGCAGTAAGTCTTTGGACTGTGTGTTTCTTTTGATCTAGTAATTCTATTGCTAGGGATCTATATTGAAAAACTCCTGGTATACCTAGGTGTATATCATAATGACCAGGCAAGGCAGATGGGTTGAGTTATGCCCTGTTGACACATTCATGCAGCTGAAAAGGAAAGAAGATCGCTTCTGCTGGGGGACAGATATAGTTCCATTATAAGTGGGTTTTTTCCCCCCCTCTTTCAAATGTTCTGTGGTGAACATTTAATGACTTTCATAATCTGAAAGTTTTTTAGTGGTACAGAATGTGCTGCTTATCTGCAATTCAGATGAAAATTGAAGCAACTATATATTGCTGTGCAACAAATATAGCGTACTTATTTCAAAGTAAAGTCTTGGAAACAACACCTAAACTTTAAGGGGTGAGATCACACTTTAGGCATCTCTCTACTTAAAGAGTATGTTTTTCTGGAAATAAGTTACCCTTTTTATTTTTAGTTTTGCTTGGTGGTGCTCGGGGCTTACTCCTGACTGCACTTGGGAGTCAACCTGGCAGTGCAGTGCTTGAGGGTCCATATGGGGTTCCAGGCATTGACCCCAGGTCGGCTGCATGCAAGGCAAATGCCCTACCCACTGTCTTTGCTCTGGCCCGACCCTCTATCTTTAAAAAGTCTTGGATGGTAAAAACTTGGTTTTGTTCGTAATTGTTGCATTTTTGTTTTTTTTATGGCTTGGGGTATTTATGGCTCAGGGTACCCTGTGATGCCAGGGATTGAACCAGCCTCCCCAGAGATAGAACTTGTGCTCCAGCTGTTGAACTCTCTCCTTCTGGCCCTTTAAGAGGTTTTTCCGCATGGTTTAAAAGTAAAAGGAGGAGAAGTAGTCTTTGTCCTCTTATACCACTTGACTTTTTCTGCCCAGGATTCCCGGGTGTCTTCAGAGCAGCCTCTGTACCTGCTCCTCACCTGCTCATTCTTGTCAGGGCCTTGAACTTACAGACCTGATGCAGAACACTTTGTGTGCTGGGATTTAAAAAAAAAAAAAGACCACCTTTTTTGGGGGGAGGGGGGAGAAGTTTAGTACTCAGTGATGTTCGTGGTCTGCTCCAGAGCCTGTGTGGTGCTGAGGGTTGGGCGTTTCCTCCCACGGCCAGAGCTGTTCCCAGCCTTCCCAGCCTTGTTCCTTTTTGTTTTGTTTTGCTTGTTTGGCGGGGGTTGGTGTTGGGCCATACTCGCCTGTACTCAGGGCTCACTCCTGGTTCCGAGCTCTGAGCTCACTCCTGGTGGTGCTCGAGCGACCATCTGTGGTATCCAGGATTGACCTGGTGTGCCACGTGTGAGGCAAGTGTCCTCTGCCTTCTCTTCAGGCCCCCGTTCCATAGTTTTAAATCGCACTTCACATCCCCCTCCATAAACACACCTTGCTTCTACTTAGTTTTTGACATGATAAAGGGGAAAAATCCTATCAGATGACAGCTTAAGCCTATTTTATTATTATAAAGATATGGGTCGTACGATAAACTCTGGAGTCATGAGGTGTGGAGAGTGAATCCCCGTCTAGCCTTTCGTGCCTGCAGCTCCCACGCTCCAGAGGACCCCTATTGTGGGTTGGGAACTGGTGATCCTGGGGCCGGCCTCCTGTCAGTGCATCCCCAGTCTTCACGCGTCCTTTGTCTGGGTCCAGATTGGACGGGCAGCTGCTCCCGAGGCGAGTAAACAGACGAGGAGACAGTAAATAAAGTGTCTGGGTGAGAGGTCTTTGGCACACAGCACCTTGTTTTACTAGCACGCAACACCTGGTTTTACCAAGTAGTTTTCAAGTTGATTCTTTCATCTTGCTTATCAGATCTACCTCTAATCCGCTGAACAGAAATTCCTCTGTGGCATAGTGGCATGTACCTCAGGGGCAGACAATTTAATACTCAGATTTAATTAGCAAGAAGCCCTATTTGAAGCTGAAGTCCTTTTGGATATGCAAAAAAGGGATCAAGGCCTTATTCCTGCCCTTCTCCCCCATAGCGCCCCCTCCCCCCAAAAAAAAATTCCAACCAAATACCAGACTGTGGTGAGAGCTGACACACTCATTGAACACAGGGTTCTGGACCCACATAAAGAACTCACTGCTTTGGCACCAGATCCTCCAGGCTCTGCCCCATCCCTGCCAGCTGGGTCTCTACAGAGGGCCCCGCACATCCATACATGCTTGGGAGACATTCCCTTACAGGGGACACTTAACAGGCACCTCTGGTCGAGGACCCCTTGTTTAAAGGGACGCTGACTACTCCAGGTGCTTCTAGTGACCGAAAGGGGAGTGGCGCACTGGCTGACAGAGCTGCTTCTTGTTTCGTAGCCTCAGCAACAGTGTCTGCAGCGTTCGTTTCTTCAGAACAACAGCTGTGTGCAGTAAGTAGCTGCCTTCAGCCCCCTGCTTGCCGAGCCGTGGATTCACCTGTTAAACCGTTCACTGAAGTTGAGCTAGAGGGGTGGGGAGGACAAAGACTGGACTCCTCATGGTTTTCTTTTGTGTTCTTTTCCTAGAGGATGATGTGATTACAGTCAAAACCCCCGCGTTTGCAGAATCCGTCACAGAGGGCGATGTCAGGTGGGAGAAAGGTGAGATGCGGTGCGTCCTCCCTTCGGACTTTAGGAAGTACCTTATAAGAAGCCTGCGACTCCCCTACTACCCAGGACAACAGGGATCTCGTGGAGCGTTTGGGGCTGGGCTGCCTGTCGCCTGGTCCTCCCAAGTGGCCGACTGTGTCCCTGCAGTGGCAGAAGGGCTTTCGTCCCCTCCACAGCTGCTCTGATCGAGAGAGAATTACAGGGGGAGGTGGAGCAATACCAGCAGCTCTGGCAGGGCTTGAGTCAGTCCTCGCTGGGGTGGCCGGAGCTTGAGGCTCAGCTTGTGGAAAAGGTCTTCGTGGCAGAGGGGCTCGCCCTGCTGGATGGGGCCAGTCAGGTCTTCGAACTGCTGCATCCCACGTCGGTCCAACAGGACCTGGGGGAAGAGGCTGGACGATGTCACGGCTGAAATGACGGGATAAGAAGCCCAGCCCCAGGACCCAGAGTGGCAGTCAGAGCAGCAAAAAGAGACTCCGGCTCAGGCAGCCACAGCTGCAGCTGCCGGGAAGGCCTGGCCTCATGGGGAGAGGGAGGGTGGCCATGAGGAAGCTCTAGACTCTGTCCGGTAGCTAATAAAAGGCCAAAACAAGACAAAAAGCGCAAAGGGATCTCGTAACTTGTTTGCCAGAAGGAAGTCGGTGCTTCTTGAATGAGCCCCTGCTAACTCACAGCCTCTCTCCTTTCAGCTGTTGGAGACTCGGTGGCAGAAGATGAAGTGGTTTGTGAGATTGAAACTGACAAGGTATGCTTCTCCTGCGCTACTTTTAGCTGTTCATGGTCTTCCCGTGGTTTCTTTGTGAAAGAACCAGCAGCCGGGGCCGGAGCAATAGTACAGCGGGGAGGGCGTTTGCTTTCCACAACCCGGATTCAGTCCCCGGCATCCCATAAGGTCCCGGGAGCACCACCAGGAGTGATCCCTGAGTGTAGAGCCAGGAATGACCCCTGAGCATTGCTGGATGTGACCTAATAGAGCTCCCCCTCAACCCCCCCACCACAAAAATAAAGAACCAGGGACTTGGCTGTTTGGGGTGCTGTTGGGGTGTGTGTGTCTGCTTGTCTGTGTGTTTTTCAAGACCTACTTGGAAAACTTAGGGTCTATCATTGATCTTCATCCACTGATTCTGATTGCCTTTCATATCACTTAAAAATCATTGCAATATCTTATGAGTAAGTGAAACATGCTTTGTAAATTAAATTTTACGTAGTTCTAGGTATGGGTGCTATGTACTTGAGCAACTGTTGTGTGGCAGGGATGGAGTGGGGGTGCTCATAAAATGTTTCCACTTTTTTTTTTAAATTTAGATAGCACTGTAGCACTGTCCTCCCATTGTTCATTGATTTGCTCAAGCAGGCACCAGTAACTTCTCCATTGTGAGACTTGTTACTGTTTTTGGCATATCGAATATGCCACGGGGAGCTTGCCAGGCTCTGCTGAGTGGGCTGGATACTTTCGGTAGCTTGCCAGGCTCTCCGAGAGAGGTAGAGGAATCGAACCCAGGTTGTCTGTGTGCAAGGCAAACACCCTACCCGCTGTGCTATTACTCCAGCGCTAAATTTAGATATTGTTTGGAAACAGTAATTGCGTATTGCTCTAACATTCCTGAGAAGGAATGAAAGGGTTAATCTCTATACTAAGTATTTTTGCCATCACTCTTAGTTTGAAAGTATGGTTTTGGTGTGTTTATCCAGTCTTGGGTGTCTGTCTGTACCTCTTCTGACTCATATTTGTGCTTCTGTTTAATTTTCTAATGCTGAGTAAAATATGGACTGTCTCTTGTTCTTGCTTTCTTAGACTTCTGTGCAGGTTCCATCACCAGCCAATGGTGTGATTGAAGCTCTGCTGGTTCCCGACGGGGGGAAAGTAGAAGGAGGCACTCCTCTCTTCACACTCAGGAAAACTGGCGGTAAAGGTCCCCCCCAGTCTCGCCCTTGGGATTGAGCCTGAGCACGTGGCGTTGATGCCTTCACTCCTCAGCCCTTTTGGCTCCCCAGCTGCCCTTGAACTAGGAGGGGTGATATTTCTGTAATGTGGAATTTCCAGACAAAGCTCTAGAAGAAGGGAATTCCATAAACCTCAGCTTTTTTTTTTTTTTTATTGTGTTTCTTGTGCTGGACCGTCTCTTAAAGATAAAATAGAAATGAAGATGATGGTTCCCCCTCCCCATCCCTGGCACTATTGAAAATAATACAAATGTACAGTCCCTTGGACTAGAGAGATAGCATAGTGGGTAGGGTGCTTGCCTTGTACACAGCCAATCCCAGTTTGATCCCCAGTATTCCATATGGTTCCTGAGCACCACCAGCTGCGAGTGATTCCTGAGTGCAGAATCGAGAGTAATCCCTGAGCATCGCCAGGTGTGGCCCCAAAACAAAAAAGTCCCCCAACCCAACTGTATAGTCCTTCTCATCCCATCCCTGGGTTCTAATCTATTATATCTGGTGCTAAATTCAGGTTACCATTTGCAGTGCTGAGACGCTCAGCTCCACAGCAGGGCTTAAGAGCCTTAGTTCTGGAGTGAGCAGCAGTATTTTAGGGGGTTTATTATGGACCTACAGTGTAGTTTTTTCACTTTTAGTCTTTCAGTATTCCTGATGGGTCACTTGTGGAAAAAATGAGATAAAGGAATTTGACTTAGAATTTGACTCTAATATTCACATTAAATATTAGAGATTAAAAAAATTTTTTTTAATTGTTAAATGCTATAACTGCTGAAGTGTTTCTCATTGTTAAAATAGTTCAGCAGCATGGGGGATTGAGTGATAGTACAGCAGATTTTGTCCCCGGCACCCCATATGGTCCTCCGCGCCCTGCCAGGAGTGATCCCTGAGCTTAGAGCCAGAAGTAAGCCCTGAGCACTGCTCTCCTCTCTCCCTTCTCTTTCCCCACCCCCAGTAATAGACTAGTTTAGCAGGAGGACTGGAGAGAGAATATGTTGGATAGGGTACTTTGCGTGTGCCTAACCTTGATTCGATCCCCAACAATGTTTTTGGTCCCCAGAAACAGGAGTAAGCCTTGAGCACAGCCAGGTGTGGTCCAAAACAGATAGTAGATTGCCTCCTTGAGGTTGCTCAGGGAGTAGACTAAGATTTGGGATTAAGATTAGTTCACGCTGAAGAGAATTCTAATAATTCCTTAAAAAGTTATTGTCCTGGAGACCAGAGTGATAGTACTGTGGTTAGGGCATTTGCCTTGCATGTGGCCAACCCAAGTGTGATCCCCGGCATCTTATGGTCCCTCGAGCACTGCCAGGGTTGATTCTGAATGCAGAGACAGGAGTAACCCCCAAGTATGCTGGTGGCAGGGGGGGTGGGGGGGGAGTTGGAGGAGAGGAGACAAAAGGCAAGAAAAAAGAGAAATTCTAAAATATAAAGCCAGAAGTGTTTATCACACAGGTCAAGTTAAGCATCTGATTTTTAAGATAACGGTCTTATTTTACTTGACCACCTCATTGATTTCTTTTCGGTGCTTTTTGGGTCACATCAGTGATGCTCAGGGGTTACTCCTGGCTGGGGATCGAACCCGGGTGAGCCACGAGCAAGGCAGACGCCCTTCCTGCTGTACTGTTGCTCCGACCCTACAGATCATTGATTTCTGACAGACATCTTTGATGGCGTGCTTTGAATTCTTAAGTCCCTGATTCTTTAAGCTTTTATTTTTTCAGAAATGAGTATTCTTATATGTGGGCTTTAAAAGAATAAAAAGGAGGAGGCCAGCTCCTGTATTCTCATAGCTAGAAATGTGTGCCAATATCTTAAAAGACTTGTTTTACTCCTGCTTGGAAGTTTACATTGCCAGTCGGGACTTTGGAAGTAATTGCTGAATGTGATGGCGATGTATGTTTGTGAAATCACGCAGGCCACTGAATTGAACTAATCTGATGGGAGCCGTCTCGAGGCTCCCGAAGCCTTGTATCACCAAGTGCATCTCTTGGTACCGTGCACCCTGTGGTGCTTTCCCTGTCAGCGTTGATTAGCTTGTTAATTGGCTGGAGATGGAGCTGCTGTTGCCGCCTCTTGCTTAGTATGTGGACTTGGGCCGTTTTGCATTCCAGACGGTGCCAATCGTGTTGATTTTTTCCTGTTTTCCAGCTGCTCCTGCTAAGGCAAAGCCAGCTGAAGCTCCTGCAGCCCCCAAAGCCGAGCCCCCGCCCGTAGCCGCTCCCCCACCCCCACCCCCAGCCGCAGCCATCCCCACGCAGATGCCACCGGTGCCCTCGCCCTCACAGCCGCCTGTCAGCAAACCGGGTAAGCTGCTCCCTGCCCCGTGTCTCTGTCCAGGGGCAGACTGCGTCAGCTCGGGGCAGGCTCTCGGGCAGCGCTAGCCGTGGCAGCCAAGCCCGGGCCTGTGCCTGCCCTGGAGAGCTGTGCCCAGATCTTCCGCTGGGGGGTGGGCATGGTGCACCCCCATCCTCAGCCTCTCGGAGTGGTGTGGGATGGGGGTGGGGGCAGATGCAGCTGAGCCTTCTCTCCTTTGTAGTGTCTGCAGTGAAGCCCTCTGCCGCCCCTGCCGTTGCTGACCTGGGAATTGGCAAAGGTGTCCGTTCTGAACACCGGGTAAGCCTCTGAACACCACTTCCGGAAAGGCAGAGGGCAGGGCTGAGGTGAGGGGGCCGAACGTGTGGGTATGGGGGCGCTGATGCCGATTGTGCATGATTAGCAGTGCGTCTGTTTGGCCTTGACCAGGAAGCTGAGACGAGGATGTCTCGTGACCGTCCGGTGGTAGGCAGAAGGCTGGGTCTTTGGCAGTTTCTCCCATAAGGCTTTCTTCCCACCGCAGTGCCTCCCAAGGCAGTGGCAGGGAACAGTAGTAGTGGGGGAAGGTGCCCCTCCTTCCAGAAGTGGTTTCCTGAGCTCTGCTCCCAGACTTCCGGGATACTCGGCTGGGGCTGCCAGTAGCAGGGACAGATGTAAAACCTCAAGGAAGTAGGGGAGGGATGTGGGTTCCCCTAGCGCGGACTACTTCCTCAGGCTACCACAGCCTCGAAAGCCTCCCGTTTGTGAATTTCCACTCCACACGTAGCGGTTCTCATGCAAGTCTCCGGCATTGCTAGAAATTGCCCTTTCTCTTTAGGATCCTTGGGCGGGCTTAGCTGTACACCACACTCTTTCTCTCAGTTGATTTTGTATTTTATTTTTGGGTCGTGCCTGGTGATACTTAGGAGTTACTCCTGGCTCTGCACTCAGGAATTACTTCTGGCGGTGCTCAGGGCACCATAGGGGAGGCCGGGGATTGAACCCGGGTCAGCTATGTGCAACCAAGCGCCCTGCCCGCTGTACTGTCAGTCAGGGCCCTGATTTTGGTCTTTAAATCCGACCATTTCCTGCGTCTTTGTTCTTGGTCCCACTTGAGGTGTACTGGAGTTGAAGCTTTTATCTCCTCTTTTCCAGAGCAAGGTGACCCTGCAGTCTTCCCCCCCCCCACCCCCGTTTTGTGGGGGCCACACTTAGTGGTGCTCAGGGATTCCTCCTAGCTCTGTACTCAGGAGTCACTCCTGGCCAGGCTTGTGGGATGCCCAGGATTAAACCTGGGTTGGTCTCCTGCAAGGCAAACGCCCTCTCTGTTGTTGTAACATTCCGGCCCCGGATCCTGTAGGCCTTGGCGAGCTGAGGGCTCCCTCTGGCTCACTGGGCAGTGCCTGGTGGCGAGACCAGTTCTTCACGTGCCAACTCCACTTATCTTTTCCAGGAGAAAATGAATAGGATGCGACAGCGCATCGCTCAGCGGCTGAAGGAGGCCCAGAATACCTGTGCAATGTTGACGACCTTCAATGAGATTGACATGAGGTGAGAGCCTCCATCCTCTTCTGTTCCGGGCCTTTTCCTTGGGGTGCACTTGACCGGCCCCTACCTAGTGCCAATAACAAGACCAGCATTCACGGGGAAGAGTTCCCTCCTTTCATTGCTTGGCACAGTTGAACCCGCTGGTCTCTTTCTCCACGTGACTTTCCAGGTACTGGGCCTGTCTAAGTTGGTGCGGTGAAAAACAGTCAGATGTTCAGATCTGGGTGCTGTGATTTCGGATGAACAAGGCTGTTAGTGTGTTGTAGGTTTTTTTTAATTATTTTTTTGCTTTTGGGGTCATACCCGGTGATACACAGGGGTTGCTCCTAGCTGTGCACTCAGGAATTACTCCTGGCGGTGCTCAGGGGACCATATAGGATGCTGGGAATCGAACCCGGGTTGGCTGCGTGGAAGACAAACGCCCTACCCGCTGTGCTATTGCTCCAGCCCCTTTTAGTGTGTTTTAAACATGAAGCACTGCATAGTGTTGAAGCCCCAGGAAGAGAAATGTGAGCCGGTCACCAAGCCCAGCCTGGGCCCAGTCCTTGGGCCAGAGCCAGCCCTGTGGCATGCTGGGAACTTACGTTGCCCACCTCCATGAGGGTTTCCCCGGCACAAAGGCACACACTCCTGTCTTGCACCTTTCTCCACTCTGGCAATGCAGTGCGAAGCTCTTTATGTGTTTAAACAATAAAGCCACAGGACAGGAAGTTAAGGGGCTAATTCACTACCTACCCCCTTCTCTAGATTCATCTCTTTTCAAGAAGGAAAAGGAGGTAGCTAAGTTTGGCAAACACTGTTGTGAGGCGTCCAGAATCCCTGCTCTCCCAGGATTTACTTTACCGTGAAGTAAAATCTAGGCCAGTCAGTATCTGAAGGGCACCGTGAGAAATGCAGGGGAGATGGAGAGCATGTGCTTTTGAGGTTGAGGCAGGAAGGAGGGAGGCTTGCAACACGAAAGGTTTCGTGCAGGGAGACTGGCTATAGGTACATGGACACAGGCAGGCAGTGTGGAGGAGGAAGGTCACTGCTTGCAGTGGGCCTGACGGTGGCAGGACAGGAAGGTCCTGACCGTGCTGGGGAAACAGCCCTTGAGAGGATTATGTACAGGGAAGAGCGCTACTGTCAGATCCAGAATTTGTGATGCTTTCAACATTGGGATAAATTCATATATCAAGCAGGAGATGAACCTTCAGATAATCTTTGCTGCCTTTTGTCCGAAGTGTTTAAGTCTGCTAATTAAAAAAAGCTTTGGGGAAATTTTTTTGTCCCGAGAGGATCTGCCTTTCCTTAGGGAATTTGGCTTTCCTCTGGAAAAAGTCTGCAAAGCCTCTCGACAGAAAGGAGTGGTTTAGGGAGCGAGTGGTGGCACTGCTCCAAGTAGGACTCCAGCCTGTTGCACCAGCTGCCATCGCGGCTCCTGTGATGCTTCCTGAAAAGACGGGCTGTCATTTAAGCCCGCCTTCTCCGCTCCTCTCCGTGGGACTGAGGGAAGGACCTGACTAATGAACCACGGAGGTTGCAGCTTATGTTTCAGTGCATTAGGGACCAAAGTGTACACAAATTGAATTGCACTTAGAAATTCTACCCAATTCCTTAAGACCAAACATGTAAATATTTGTGGCCTCGAAAGATGCTGTTGGCCCAGCAGCTTTGACTGCAGGGTAAGTGCCGGTGGCCTGTCCTTTTAGCAGCTAATCATGGTGTCACGTAACCACAGCCTGGGGTCTTGCGGTAGTCAGTAATCTGGTTTAGATCGAGTGCCCTTTGGCTCTTGCGCTGATCAGCTAACCCTTGAGGGGCCTTTCTGAGACTTTCTTCTGTCCCCTGTCGTCCCAGCCTCTGCCCTCCTAGGGCTGCGCTTTGAAATAGAAACTACTTAACGGACCAGACAATAGCATTTGGGCTGGTTGGAGAGCAGAGATGTTTATCACGTCTCTTTCCCTCTTCTGCAGCGCCTGTGTCTTGGGAACCAGTAATGTCTTTAGGGTGGTAATCCTAGCACTTAATAAGGTTAGACTCAGGAAAACAAACATTTTTAAACCCAATCAGTCCTCCTAGGAAAACTTCCTTTTTCAAAAAAAACAAAAGGTCTAAAGCAGGGAGTTAAAGTTATGCCATCTTATCTTTCGAACTAATGTCAAATTAGGCCATTACAGGGAGAAAGAGAGAACTGAGCATTGGGCTGAAGATAAAATTGATTTAATCTCACCGTGGGTTCTGGGTTCCCAGAAACACTGAGGTTTCTACGACAGAATGCTGGGAAAGCATTTTCCCATGTAGCCCGGCAGTACACGCACGTTGAGTTCTTAGAAGCCAGTCCTGAGGGGCGAGGCTGTGCCCATTGCAGAGACCCTTCCGCTGCTAGACCCCAAAAACTCAGGAGTCGCATTTCTCTCCGTCACACGAGTGACTTCTGCACTCACCTTAGGCCATGGCCCTGTCTTTGCTGTGTGCTTGGTCCCTAGCTCCTGTGGGTGTGTGCTTGCCCCTTGGGTGGCTGTCAGGCAGGGAGAACCATGGACTCGGGGACGGACAAGCCTGCCTGTGACAGAAAGACCTGGTGACCGTGGACCCACTTGTTGTCATGCTGCTTTTGCGCGCGCAGAGATAGGACCTGCATGGTGCCGGGTTTCTCTGCTTGCAACAGGAGAGAGGCGTTTTACAAGGAAGTCAGAATGAGATGAAGTTTCTGTTTTTTTTTGAGAGCCTAACAAGAAAATTAAAGTGCTTTTATTTTGTGGACTATTTTTATGCTTAAAATCCTTTTTCTCCACTGTCGATGGCTCCTGAGTTTAGCATAGCCAGCAGTCACTCCCGTATCCTGGCCAAGGGTGTCGGATTTGTTCTGGGCCACGTGCTGATTGTGCCACTAAGGCCTCTCAGAGGGCCCTCTCAGCACAGAGGGGTCCTGTACTGGGCTGGTGGCACCCTACAGGCACATGGGCCCTGGTCCCAGGACTCAGGTCCTGTAAAGGAACAAGGTTCTCGTGTTGGACAAGGTTCTAGTGTACTGTTTCAAAACTTGAACTTGGGTCGATGGTCCAGAGTAAGAGGGGAGGGGAAAAAAGCTTACTCAGCTGTGTATGTGGCGTCAGGACGTGGCCTGGTGGTGGTGAGTTTGTTTGGGAACGTGTCTCTGCAGTAACATCCAGGAGATGCGGGCACGGCACAAAGACGGCTTTCTGAAGAAGCATAACCTCAAGCTCGGCTTCATGTCGGCATTTGTCAAGGCCTCGGCCTACGCCTTGCAGGAGCAGCCTGTTGTGAATGCAGGTGAGTGTGTGGCCATTGCCCAGTCTGAAGGGGAGAGGGGGCAGCAACCGAGGTGTGTTGAACCAGATGCAGAGGGTTGGGGGTCTGCTGCCCCACGGACTCAACCCTGCCTCCGGCATCACTGCTTCTCCCTGCCCGCTGCTCAGCACCATCTCTTCCCAGTGCCTCCCCCTGCCCAGGTGTGAATCTGCCCGGCCTGGGCGGAAGTTCCTTCTCGTGCTTATCTCAGGGCTGGACTGATACCCTTGACAGGGCTCCTTGTGACCTTTGGTTCTGATCTCTGGCCACTGGGGGCTTGGCCCTGGCCCCCTCCCGTGGGCTTGGTGCTCTTTCCCTTTGCTTTTTCTTCCCTTTGCTGCTGCTGCTGTTTTGGCGCCACACCCACTGTGCTCAGGGCTGACTCCTGGGTTTGTGCTCAGGGCTGACTTGTGGTGGGCTCAGGAGATCCTGTGGGGTGCCTGGGATAAACCCCCCCTGGTTTCCCAGTGCATGTAAGGCGAGTGCCACACCCGTCTCTCTGGCCCAGGTTTCCCTTTCAAAGCTTTTTGGGGAAGGTGACTTTTTATCCTTTTTTCCTTTGATTTTGTGTCTAGGATTGAACGCAAAGCCTCACTTATTGCAGGAATGCACCCCGCTGATGAGCTGCCTGCTCCCTCGGGTTTCTATTTTTGTGTGTTTTGGGGCCGTGCCCAGCAGTGCTCAGAGCTTACTCCTGCCTCTGTGCTCAGGGATCCCTCCGGGTGGGGCTCAGGGAACCACATGGGGTGCTGGGGATTGAACCCAGATCAGCCACATACAAGGCAAGTGCCCTACCCGCTGTCCTGTCACTCCGGCCCCTGATTTCTCTTTTTTGTTTTCCTTTCTATGTCCTTTTACTCTTTAGTTTTCCTCTCACTCCCATGTCATTGAAATGTTGGCCAACTTTCGTTGTTGAATAGCGAAGGAGTTCCTTTCCTGTGGGACACAGAAGGGGACAGGTACACCGTTATAACCCTCCGCGGTGCCATGGCCCTCGTTCCCCCTGCAGTGAGAGGCTCGCGGTGCTTCCAGGACTTCCTCAGCTCTCGTCTCTGTGGGCCCCTTCCCTGTGCCTCCTCCCCCGCTCCCCACACATAAGCCTGGAGGTGAGTCCAGCCTCCTCCTGGCTTTCTCTTTGACTCCTGGGTAAGCCACACAGCCTTCCTCTGGGAGACCCCCACTCTGTGTTTTCTCGTGAGCACTGCGCCTCAGTTTCCCCTGCTGCTATGCAGACCCCTTTGTTTCTTCCTGAGTCTCCTGACAAAAGGGTTCCTCTTCCTTAGTGGTTGCCTCAGCTGGTTCATATGCTTTGTTTGAAGCGCTTTTTCTTCTACTTTGTAAAAAATTTTGGGCCACACCTGGAGGTGCTTGGGGCTGACTCCTGGTTCTAACTCAGAGGTCAGTCCTGACAGTGTTAGGAGAGACCGTATGGGGTGCCGAGGATTGAGCCCCGGTCAGTGCGTGCAGGGCAAGAGCCCTGCCCACTGTACTTCTGTCTCTCACACGCTTACCTAGCCGTCAACTCCGGGAGGGCTTGCGACCAACTAGGTTGCCTGCAGCCTAGCCTGTCTATGGACTCCAAAAAAAATGGACGTGCCCCACATGGGAGAGGTGCGAAGAGGTCGGCACGGAGCGGAGACACCTGGTGGCTGTCCCGCCGGCTGGTCAGCTGGTCCTGCAGTGTCAGTCCTGTTTCCCGCCCGCCGCTGGAGGGTTTAGAGTGACCTTGTTTTCTTTCTCCTAGTGATTGACGACTCAACCAAAGAGGTGGTGTACAGGGATTATATTGACATCAGTGTCGCTGTGGCCACCCCACGGGTATGTTGGGACCGGAGTGGGGAGCTCACTTCTCATGCTCACTGCTCTCCCGCGGGAAGATGTGAACTGTGTCTGTGTTTCTTCATAGAAAGAAGAAAAAGCCGACCATAGTTTGGCCACGTTCTTCATAGCGTGTTTCAGAATTTGTTGATGACATTGACTGATGCTGGTTTTCTGGGGAGGGGGGAGCCGCAAGGACACGGTTAGGGGCCGGGGATGTGGCCCAGCGGTAGTAGAGTGCTTGTCTTGCATGTGTGAAGCCCCGAGTTCGATCCCTGGCACCACATGAATGAGAAAAGGGGTGGGCACTATTTACCTGAATGTGAAAACGGCCTCCACTCTCTTCAGGGTCTGGTGGTTCCTGTCATCAGGAATGTGGAAGGTATGAATTACGCCGACATCGAGCGAACCATCAACGAGCTGGGAGAGAAGGTGAAGCACGGAGCGGCCGCATGGGCGGGCGGGCGGGCAGGGGCCCAGGGCTGCGGGGAGAACCCAGGCTCCCGAGCTCCTTTTCCCGCCTCACTCCTCGACCCCGTGGCATTGCCCCTGCCGTCCAGTGGAGCACTGGCCCCACTTGTCCTTCAGATGCCCTCCTGCCGGGGCTTTGGACGGCTTCCCCCTCAGGAGGCTGCTGGGTGAAGTCCGTTGGGTTGTCCTTGTATCTCAGTGGTGAAATCTGTGTTTTAGGCCCGGAAGAACGAACTCGCCATCGAAGACATGGATGGAGGCACTTTCACCATTAGCAATGGCGGTGTTTTCGGCTCACTTTTCGGAACACCCATTATTAACCCCCCGCAGTCTGCCATCCTGGGCATGCACGGCATCTTCGACAGGCCGGTGGCCGTGGGAGGCAAGGTAGGTGGACTGGTGGTGCCCTCCTGGGAGGTGCCTGGCCAGGTGCTAGTCACACAGATGGCGCCGTGTCAGGACTGACTTCCGGCTCCCAGCTTACGTGTGCTCCAGAATTTCCCAGGCTAAGTGGTTTGGTTTACCGCCCCCTTTTTAAAATCCAAGTCACTGAGCTCCCCATCAAGGAAATGTGTGGGTGTTTTGGGTTCATTTTTTTGGTTTTTGGACTTCACTCAGCGATGCTCAGGGCTTTCTCCTGGCTCTGTGCTCAGGTATGACTCCTGGCGGTGGTGCTCAGGAGACCAGATGAGATGCCGGGGGTAGAACCCAGGTTGGCTACATGCAAGGCAAGTGCCTTATCTACAGTGCTGTCACTCCAGCCCTCAAAATATACCTTATTTTTTAAGGGAACAAAATGCTCTCTTCAGTGTTGCCCGCTTTGGGAAGCTCTGATTTAACACCCAAGCTGTTGACTCCCAGATCGTGTGCCAGTCAGCCTTGTTGGGGATCTTGTTAGGGATGGAGTGTTTTGAACTCATCTCAGCCGACTAGTTGGTAAGCGAGAGTACATCTTACCGGAGGCATATTCAGCTTGGAGAACCTCTGGGCACAAAGTGCTGATCCTGCCCTTTGGGCCCCACCACTGGACATCACTCCCTAGTGCTCCAGAAAGCAGGAATGCAGCTGGTCTGTACCAGGCCATCGTGCCCGGGAGCCAGAACAGGCAGAGTTGTGTGAGCCGCCCCATGCTGTGACAGAGTGCAGGGGTCTTGGGCCTGGCCGTGCCTCCGGGAGATGCAGGTAGGGATACATAGTTTCCTAGATTCCTATATTTAGAGCATTTCTAGGAGTGCCAGGGGTGTGGCACTGCAGTGGAGTGCTTGCTTTGGGTGCGTGAGGCCCTGGGTTCTATTTCTGGCACTGCCAAATAACATTGCAGGATCTCTTTTTTTTATTTTTTTATTTTTTTATTTTTTGGGGCCACACCAGCCAGTGCTCTGGGATTACTCCTGACTCTACTTTCAGGGATCACTCTAGGCTGGGATTAGGGGACCACGTGGGGTGCTGGGGATTGAACCCAGGCATCTGTGTGCCAGGCAAGTGCCTTAACCTCTCTGTGCTGTTTATTGCTCCAGGGTCTGTAGGATCTTTCCAGGTGCTAACTCCTTCATGAATCTAAACAGTGGTTACATACCCAACTTGCATACAATTTCAGAGAATATGTGGACCCCAGGATTAAAAAAAAAAAACTAAAACTAAACATTTAGGGGTTGGGATTAACCCCAGCTTGATCCTTGGTACCTCATATTCCTTGATCACTGCCATGAGTGATCCTTGAGTTGCAGAGCCAAGAGTAAATCCTGAGTACCACTGTGTGCCTCACAACAAAAATTACGTTTTATTGTTATTTGGGGGCTGGAGTGATAGCACAGCGGGTAGGGTGTTTGCCTTGCACGTGGCCTACATGGCCGACCCGAGTTTGAATCCTCTGCCCCTCTTGGAGAGCCCGACAAGCTACCGAGAGTATCTCGCCCGCACGGCAAAGCCTAGCAAGCTACCTGTGACATATTCGATATGCCAAACACAGTAACAACAAGTCTCAAAAAATGGAGACACTACTGGGCCCATTTGAGCAAATCGATGAACAACGGGAGGACAGTGTTTGTTTTCTCAAGTTCTTACTCTTGGAGAACCCGGCAGGCTACCGAGACTATCTCACCCTCATGGCAAAGCCTGGCAAGCTACCCATGACGTATTCAATATGCCAAACACAGTAACAAGTCTCACAATGTTACTGGGCCCGCTCGAGCAATTCGATGAACAGGAGGACAGTGACATTATTTGTGGAGGGCTTGGGATCACACCTGGCAGCTCTGGGAGCCCAGGGTGCCAGAGATCAAACTGGGGTCTGCACCATGCAAGGCAAGCACCTTACCCCTATAGCCATCTCTCTAACCCACAAACCATTTAAAAGTGTTTAAAATGGGCCGGGAGATGAGGCAGCAGCTAGGGTGTGTGCCAGGTGTGTTTCCAAGCCCACTTCCAGCACAGCATCACCAGGCCTTCTCAGCATGACCAGGTGCTGCAGCCCAGGATGAGCCTGGCCCTGCAGGCCCTGGCATCAGTGAGTGACACATGGCCCAGTTGGCTGAGACTCCCCAGGAGTGGCCCTGGGGCCCTTGGAGCTCTTTGGGATACCCCGTCAAAAAAAATTTCAGTGCAGAAGGAGAAACTGCAGGGCTGGAGAGAGCTCAATAGGCTGGCGTGTGCCTTGCATGTTGCATGTCTGAGTTCAGTCCCCGGCACCAGGTGGTTCCCCCAAGCAAGGACTGAGCCCCTGACACCCACCACCCTGGCCCCCAAACCAAGGAAGGGGGAAAGAACCGAAGAGAGCTGGATCGTTTCTATTTAATTTTTGTTTAGTTTTGGAATTGTACCCAGCAGTGCTCAGGGCTGAACTCCTGGCCCTGCTTTCAGGGATCACTCCTGGAGGGGCTCAGGGAGTCGACCGATTACCAGGGATTGAGCCTGGGTTGGCTGTGTGCAAGGCACACGTCCTCTCCCCGCTGTGCTGCGGCTCCAGGCCCTGGACTGGTTTTCTTTTCTTGTCCCATCTGCCCTGCTCCTGACTGACCCGCGTCCTCTCCTCTGCAGGTGGAGGTCCGGCCCATGATGTACGTGGCGCTGACCTACGACCACCGACTGATAGACGGCAGAGAGGCTGTGACTTTCCTCCGCAAAATCAAGGCAGCGGTGGAGGATCCCAGGGTGCTCCTACTGGACCTCTAGGCAGAGCCCCGCGCCCCAGACACCCACCACGCAGGAACTGAAGCCCTCTTCTCCCTGCCCCCACGGCCCCGGGTCAGCCCCGTGCAGGCCCGCACATGCTGCTGGCCTCAGGCGAGGCGGCCAGGTCCTCTTCTGGGTGTTCCTGCGAGGCTCCCTCTCTCCTGCCATCCCTCCCCGCACCCCTTCTCCCCCTGCCCCCTTCTCCCCTAGGCCGAGGGAGAGAGCCTCCGGGTGCCCCTTCATAGTCCTGCCTTTCTTTGCTCACCCATGCAGAGAGTAGCTTCTCCCCGTGCTGGTGTTACTATGGAAACCACCAGGGACCATGTGCTACGTGTCTTTTGAAAGTCTGTTTTCTAGAGACTCCCCCCCTGGGGGGTTCTGGGGGTGCTGTGCCTCCCAGCTCTGAGCAGCCTGTCTCCTGGCTGTGCACATGGTCCCCGGACTCCACGCGTGTGGAGGCGTGGACCCCAGGCCAACGGGTGCTGCTGTGCTCCTTGGAACGCACCGTCATCCTCAGTCTCATTGGCTTCACGATGCCTCTTCTACCTCTTCCGGGAAGCACAGGCCAGGGGCCGTGGGTGCGGGTGGAGCGGGCATTGTTGAGCGTGGGAGAAGCCAGAGTCCCCTCTGGTGCCCGCCGCCCCCATGCCGACTGGCCTCTCGCCCTTCGTCACCATCGCGCACATGCTCAGGCTGTGGGAACCCCTCGGGCACCCTGTTCTCCTTTTGAGCAGATTCAAGGACATCATGGCAAGGGGCACGGGCAGGTTTCGGCCTCAGGCGGGAGATGGATTGAGGGATAGGGGTGCAGGGAGCTTCCTGTCCGGTGGCCTCAGGCTTGGTATAAGTGGGGAAGGGAGGGGCAGTTCTGTGCTTCCTGCACTTGGGCATGAAGGAGCAGAGCTGTAGCACTTACACACAGGACGGGGGGAGAGTGGGCCGGCATGGGGCTGGCCAGCGTCCTCACAGAGCCTCTGCCTGGTGCCTGGGCACGGCTGCTGGCATTCCTCAGAGCAGGTTAGCACAGCCTGTGTCCAGCTGCATCCCGGCAGAACAGGCTGGGCCCGGTGCTGAGAGTGCCCGGGTCTCGAGGGAAGGGGAGGAGGAAGGGAGGAAGGGAAGGAGTGAGCCCGTGGGGTGGGAAGGGAAGGGGGTGGGGGCCATACAGTGCCTGCAGCGTCTACTCTGTCTTCACTATTAAGAACTTGTAACTAAGGTATTTAAAGAAACAGATTTTAAATGCAAATTAAAGGGCAAATGTTCTCAAACTTGGGCTCCTGCTTCCCTGTTCCTTGCGGGGGGGGGGCCGAGGTCTTTGTCTGCAGAGCTGCTCGGCTCTTCTCCCACATATTCTGGTTGGGAACCGGTGGACACTGGGCCCATGTGACAGGAGGTAGCCCTTCGCTGGCCCGCCAAGTGCTGACTTTCAGGGGCTCCTGGAGCTCAGCTAAGGGTGATGCTGTCCATGGGCTCAGTGGGAGGGGGGAGTTTGGGATTAATGACATGGGAGCAAGGTGTTCACAGGCCCCTCAGTCTAGAAAGGCCTGTGACAGGAGCCCAGGGGCTGTGAGACATTCCCCCACCGCGCCCAGGCTGCAGGAAGTGCCAGCTCTGCAGCAGGGAGAGGTCAGGCCCTTGAAGAGGGCAGTCCCCGCCTGCCCCCTCCCCAAAAGGCCACTGTTACATGAGTGAGGCCAGGACCCCTATAGGCCACAAGAGGCTTTATTGGAGGGATGGGGGGCTGTGGGGTCATACAGACTTCCAGAGCCCCCCCTGTGCACCCACTTCCCCAAAGCTGGCGTGGGGGCCCTGGCATGGTGGGAATTGTCTTAATTCCCCTCCTGGGTGACATGAGTCCTAAGGGGAAGGGAGGGGACTGCCTTTGCAGGGAGCTGCCCACCCTGCCAAGTTCTTAAAGGCAAGAAACCTGGCTGGAGGCTGGGGCGGGCACTCCCCGCAGGAGGAGAGCACAGTGGGCAGTGAACGCAGAGCCCGACTCATGCACAATGGCAAACGGGCAGGATGCCCAGGACCCTAAATGGGGGCTCAGACCTCTCGCCCCAAGGCGCAGGGTTGGCTTCTGCCCCGTGCCCTGGAGAAGGGATCTTTTCAGAATGACTCTCAAGCGTCGTTCCCTGCCCCTTTTATCCAAAGTTGGTTGGTGGGGCCAGGAGGTGGCCCAGGTGGGTCTGTCCCAACCTCACCACATGCCTGTGTCTCCTGTGGCCACATCCTGCATAGCCTCTGGCAGAGGTGACCAGCCAGGACAGGCCTGGTTTGGGGCCAGTACACCAGTGCCCTGAGATGAATGTCCAGTGTCCCAAGTGGGCCCCCGGAAAGGCAGCGAGTCACGAGACCTCATGGTCAGCCCATGGTCCAGCCTGGAAGGCACTGGTCAGCGTGGGGGTCTGTGTTCACAGTCCGGGGATGTGCCCAGCAGCTGCCAGTGGACCGTTGAAGGGGTGGCTGGGGGGTGTAGGTGGAGAGGATGGTCCTAGCTGCCCCTCCCCCTCAGCAGTGCCAGAAAGGACTTGTCCAGGCTTTGGTCACTTTGGGGACCACAGATACAGGGCAGCTCTGGGTGGTAGACAGAGAGGCGGGAGTCTGTCACCCCCGTCCCTCGTCCCCCACCAGCTTGCTCCACTGGACGGTGCTGAAAAAGGGGTGAGACTTGAGTTTGTCAACGCTGAGGCGCTTGCTGGGGTCGAACTGCAGCAGCTGTGGGGAGAAGGCTGGATCAACACTGCTAGCCCAGCGAGGGTGCACCCCTGTACCGCAGACCGCCCCCAGGGCATGCCTCTAATACTCAGCCCACCTTCAGGGTACACCCCTGCATCTCAGCCCTCCCCCATGGCACACCCCTGCATCCCCAGACCACAGAACTGACCACTCACACTGACCATCTCACCCGTCCCCACACTTGGCACCCCCGGCAACCATGAATGGGCAGTGAGGCTAGCCCACACACAGGTCCTGATCCCCAGTGCACACACTCGTCCCCTCTGGCCTCACCCCTGCCAGCAGGGAGGCGGCTGGGCGGCTGAGCCACTCAGGCAGCTGGAGCTGGGTGTGGGGCTGGATTCCCGAGGGGTGATTCTGGGACAGCGCCTGGGAGGACAGACACAGAAGGGGCTCTGAGCGGGCAGCCCAGGGCAGTCCACACCCCAGGGGCCGCCCGCTCATGTCCCTGCGGGGCAGGAGGTTCCCATATTGTTGCCCTTTACCCCAGGGTGTCAGGAAGCATTATGGTGCCCCTCAAAGTAGGAATGCCCCCCCCATTTTAAAGACGATGGCAGGGGTCTGGGGAGATAGCTCAACCGGCGGAAGGCAGGAGACCCGGAGGCTTCTGGGCCCAGCACTGCAGAGGGACCCTGACCACCACCAAGTGTGGCCCAGCAAAAAAACACTGTCTTCCCATTGTTCATCGATTTGCTGGAGCGGGCCCAGTAACGTCTCCATTTTGAGACTTGTTGTTACTGTGTTTGGCATATCGAATAGGCCACGGGGAGCTTGCCAGGCTTTGCTGTACGGGCGAGATACTCTCAGTAGTTTGCCTGGTTCTCCGAGAGGGGTGGAGGAATAGAACCCAGCTTGGCCAGGCTGGCTGCACGCAAGGCAAATGCCCTACCACTGTGCTATCGCCCAGCACACACATAAAAAAAATCCAAAAGGTAATAAAAATGTGGCCAGCTCGGAGGCGGAGGCACCAGGCTGGGTTCAAGTTTGAACCCTCAAAGGACACCGAGCAGGAGCTGGAGAGATGGTATAGTGGGCCAGGTGCCTGCCCTGCACTCAGCCGACCCAGGTTCGATCTCCAGTACCTCAGGGCCCCACCAGGAGTGATCCCTGAGCACTGCCAGGTGTGGCCTCCCCCACCTCCAAAATAAACACCCACAAGGACAGCTCGATCCTGACTTGCAGTCAGGGCCAGCAGGGGGCAGGCTGGCCTGGGGGAGCAGAGGATGTGCCTGGCAGTTCGTGACTGGGAGGGAAGGTGTCCAGGGGTGGACTCAGACGCTGGATGGCTAAGAGCCATGCCGGGCCACGAGCAGCTAGAGTTTGAAGGCCTTGGCCTGGCTCTTGGCATCGGCAAGGAGTTGGCAGGAGGCAGCCGGGAGAGCCGGGTCAGACCTGGAATCTGGGGTCCTGCACGGCCTCCCCTGGGTGGCCTGCCCAGCTCCAGTGCTGCGATGCGCTCCCCTGGGCAAACAGGCAGGCAGGCGGTCACTCTCCTGTCCTCCTCCTCACCTGGGCTGGAGGAGGGGGTGGAGGTAGCAGTGGGTGGGTGACCGAGTGGCCAGTGTCAAATCCTGAGCGGCCCTGGGGCGTCCTGCTCCCAGGCGGGTCTCTGGGTGCAGGGTGAGTGCAGGAGGCGGGCGAGGACTGGGGGGCTGGCCCTGCTGACCCTTCACTCACCGTCCCGGTGAGCAGCTCGTACAGCAGGGACCCGAAGCTCCACCAGTCACACGCTTCGGTCAGCTCAGAAATCCCGCCCACCTCTGTGGGAGCAAGGACAGGCCATGGCAGCCTCACCCCCGGGGGTGAGCGGGTGACGGGCCCCCTTCCGTCCAGCTGAACCCAGACACCCCCCCTCCGCCACCACCACCAGTGCCCTCCCTGCTTGCCTGGGGCACTGTAGAGGTGGTCCGAGGCCTCGCGGCAGCACTGCGGCTCCACCTCGGACCACTGGCCGAAGTACGTGAGCCGGATGTGACCTTCTCAGAGGGAGGATGAGAGAGAGAAGGACAAAAATCACTGTTAGTCATCACTGAAGTGACAGCATGGAATTGGGAGAGTGGGGGACGCCTGGGGACCTCCTCCCAGTCACAGCAGGTGGCTCAGACTGGGGGGACATTCCCAGGGCAGAGAAGAGCCTGGCTGGCCACCTCTGCCCTCACTTGGGCTTTGGGGGGATTCTTGTGGGTGTAGGGGCGGGAGGGGCCACCCACCGGCCTGGTCCAGGAGCAGGTTGCGGGGGTTGAGGTCCCGGCAGAGCACTCCCTGTGCGTGCAGTGCCTCCAGGGCCACCAGCATCTCCGCCGCCCACTGCTTGGCCTGCTCTTCCCTCAGCGTCCAGGCGCCCCCACCGGCTCTCAAGCTGGCTTTCCCGGCCAAGGGCGGGCCCTGGCCTCGACCTCGGCCACAGCCCCCCAGCACCCGGCCAGCCCCCTCCCGAACCCAAGACAGCCCCCAAGGAGGTGCAGTGTCGGAGCTCTGGCCAGGTCCCCGCCGGCCGGCCACACCCAGGCGGCCACTTGGGGTCTTTGGAAGGTTCCAGGAGCAGGCAGCGCCGGACCTGGCCGAGGGGGCCCTTTCCGTCCCTCTCAGGGGAGTCTCCGCGGTGGGGACCCCCCGGGCGGGGGCGGGGCATAGGCTCCCACAGGTCTGCAGAGGCCTCGGGGCGGGGTGGTCCGGTGGGTGGAGGCGTGGCGGGGACGGCGCTGCAGGGGTGTGAAGACGGAGGCGGGCGCTGAGCTGCGTCTTCATCCTCTCCAGGCTGGAGTCGGGACCCAGCCCAGGCTGCTGCGGGCGTGCGCGGGACCGCAAGTGGGACCAGAGGGCACCTCCTAGGCCGTGCGAGAGAGCAGGGGATGAGGGGAGGCCCAGTGGCCGCCTCGCTTCCCCTCTGCTTTCTCAGTCTGTCCCCCACCCCCCAGGGGTCCCCCATGGTGCTGCACCCCTAAGGAGTTGTGGGTGACTGGGGTGTTTCGTGTTTTGTGGTTTGGGTGGGTCACCATGCCCAATGGGGGTCCACTTTGTTCTGTTTCCTGTTTTTTGGGCCATGCCCAGTGGGGTTTCTGGTCGCCTGGTGCTTGGAGGCCACTCCAGCCGCGCAAAGGATTTTTGTTCGCTTGGTTTGAAGGTGCCATACCCGGGAGTTCTCGGGGGCTATTGCCAGGATATCATGGGGGTGAGGGGATTGTCCCTGGCAGTACTCGGGTCCTACAGTGCTGGGGACCATACCCGGGCCTCCTGCATGCAAAGCACGTGCTCGGCCCCTTGAGTCACCCTGTGATGGTTTTTGGTGGTTGTTTCTTGGTTTCGGGGGTCTGGGAATGGCTCAAAGCCAATTCTGGCTTTGCAGTCAGGAATCCCTCTTGGTGGTGCTTGAGGGACCATATGGGATGCTGGGGATTCAGCCCAGGCTGACCACATGCAAGGCGAACGCCCCACCCACTGTACTATCACTGCAGCCCCCCAAAGTTATTTTCTTGATGGGAGAATAGTAGTAACGAATTTAACGAAAATAAATGGATGCTGGCATAGATTGATGATGAGTTACAACCCGACCCTGAGGTACGTACCTTATTAAAAAAAAAGAAAAAAAAGGGGGAGAGGGGTGGAGTGATAGTACAGCAGGTAGGGCACTTGCCCTGCACGCAGCAACCTGAGTTTGATCCCCAGAATTCCATATGGTCCCCCAAGCACCACCAGGAGTAATTCCTGAGTGTACAGCTAGGGGCTAGAGCGATAGCACAGCGGTAGGGCGTTTGCCTTGCACGCAGCCAACATGGCCAACCCGAGTTTGATTCCTCCGCCCCTCTCGGAGAGCCCGGCAAGCTACCGAGAGTATCTCGCCCGCACGGCAGAGCCTGGCAAGCTCCCCGTGACGTATTCGGTATGCCACACACAGTAACAACAAAGTCTCCAATGGAGACATTACTGGGCCCGCTCGAGCAAATCGACGAACAACGGGAGGGCCTTTTTTACCTTACCTTTACCTTACAGCTAGGAGGAACCCCTGAGCATAGCCCAGGTATAACCCAAAAAAGCAAAAAACAAATACAACCAAAAACAAACTCAGGGGCCGAAGTGATAGTACATCAGGGAGGGTGTTTGCCTTGCCCCCGGTCTACCTGGGTTCGATCCCCGGCATCCCATATGGTCCTCCGAGCACCACCAGGAGTAATTCCTGAGTGCAGAGCCAGGAGCAACGCCTGAGTATCGCCGGGTGTGATCTTCCCCCTAAAAAAATCCAAACCAACCAACCCTAGGGGCTAGAGTGATAGTACTGTGGGGAGGGCATTTGCCTTGCACTCTGCTGAGGCAGTTCAATCCTCCACCTCCCATATGGTTCCCCAAACCCACCAGGAGTGACCCCTGAGCACCACCAGGTGTGCCTCCCAACCCCTCCCCCCCTGAAAAAAAAAAGTGAAAAACCTAACTAGGGGCAAAGGATGTGGCTCCGGGTTAGAATGTCTGCCTTGCATGTGTGAGGCCCCGAGTCTGATTCCTGGCATTGTAAAATCACCCCAAACCCACTCTACTAGGTCTAGGACCTGGCTGGCAACCTGGTTCTTGTCCTGATGTGCTACTCTGCAGATAGGCACAAACGAGAAAAATGGACTTGGGGCCAGGGACGTAGTACAGGGGTTTAGTCCTGTCGTGTTCTCCGGAGCCCACCAGGAGTGCCCCTCAAGCACAGAGCCAGAAGTAGCCTGTGAGCAGTGCCAGGGGTGGCCCCCAAACTCCCCTACCAAAAAAAAAAAAAAAAGACTACCAGAAAAATTGACAAAGGAGAGACAGTACAAAGGGCTTAAGGTGTGTCCGAGAGTTTGGTCCCTGGCACTGCATGGTTGCCCTGGTGCCCTGAGCACTGGGCCCAGTAACCCAGTAATGCCAGCTTGCCCAGCTGAGGGTGGTTTCACCAGGGGTGGTCTCTAGACCCCCAAGCACCACCGGGAGGCTCCCCCTAAAGGGACATCTGCACACCTGCATTCTCTCCTTGGCACCACACAGAAGCCCATGCCAGCCTGACGCCGCTGCCTCCCTCCAGAGAGGCGGGTGTCTCCTGGCTCCCCTGGCCCGCCCCTGGCGCTCACCTGGCACGTGTTCCAGCTGCAGGAAGATGGAGTCCTCACTCATGAAGTAGCGCAGCAGCTTGGTCATGTAGGGGACACCATGTGGGATGATGGTTGGTCGCTCCCGGCTGGCCACGTGGCACCTGGACAGGCTCTGGGAGGGGGACAGGCAGGTGAGGGACAGCCCAAGCCAGATTGCTGGAGGGGAGGGGCCACGGGAAGGCGGGCAGAGCCTCCTCATGAGCTTCGGGCTCAGGCTGAGGCCCGTGTGTGTTTGTGTGTGTGTGTGCATTTACACAGACATGTTTACATAGACATAGACATGCATGGGTGTGCGTGTGCACTCTGTATACTCAGATAAGTGCATATGTCTCCATGTATGCAGCTGTATGTGTGTACATGTGTGTAGCTGTTGGAGGCTTGCTTGGGGCAGGATCAGCAGGTCTGGGGATGGGAGGGCACATGGATTTCAAACACGGGTTCAGGGTAGCGCGTCCAGGGGGTTTAGGGCTTTCCATGGGCTCTGAGCGGGCCCCAAGGGGAACGCAGGATGGGGGGAGTTGTGGAGGGGCCACCTGCCTTCACAACGAAGGTCCCACCAGTCGCCGGGTCTTGCACCAGCTGCACCTGTGAGCAGGGAGGGCACAGGTCACGGCGATGCTCTCTCGGCCCTTAGAGAGGTTCCTCCTTGCAACCCTCACCCAGGGGCAGGGCCAGGGGGGAGGGCTGTGGCGATGAGCACTCTGCCACCCCCACATTGACAAGGGCCCTGGCTCGCTCCTCTGTCCAATCTCTGTCCAGCGGTCTCAGCTCTCCCTGCAGGAAGGCTCAGCACACTCATTTCCTGTCACCCCTGGGCTGTCCCCTCCGGAGCCCACAGTGGGCAGGTGGGAGAGGGGCCTTCACACCTGTGATGGGGCTCCAGCCCAGAAGGCACCTCAAAACCATGCCACCCCCCCCAGCAGGCCGGGAGTGGGAGCCCCTCCTGAGCTCCTCCTGCTGCCTTTGGGCCCTGACTTAGCGCCGTGGTGAGCAAGCAGGGTGGACCTACCCATCTCAGGGGCCGTAAGGGGCAGCCCTGCACCCTGCGCTGGGGCTCTTTGGTCGGAGACTCGCCTCCTTCACAAGAAAGCAGAAGGGACAAGCGCCCTGACCCCCGCCCCCGGCAGCAGGGAAGGTTGCAGCCTGGGCGTAGCACTCGGGCATGGGAACCAATTTCCTTGTCTGCTGAAGAGGAGCTGGAAGTGTCCACCTGCCTCCACCGGGGCTGGGGGACCTTCTCCAGAGAGAGCCCCACCTGAAGGCACAGTGGAAGGCTGCTGGGCTCAGGATCTACATGCTGGCGTCCACATTGAGCCCCCGCCACTTCAGCGTCCCCAGCGCATTTACCAGAGCCCTTGTCCACACCCTGGTATTTTGGGGAGAAGGGGAGAGCGCCCCGCGCTGGCCATGGAGCAGAGGGACTCTTCCTACCGCCCACCGCCCACCTCGCTGAGGGCTGCTGATGGTAACTAGTAAACCAGGGACACCCGAAGAGTTGCTAGAGCAAGTCTCTCTCAAACCAGCTGTCACAGGGATGGTTAAAGTGATCCTCTTTATTGCATTAAACAGGCCCCGAGTACATTACTTTCTTTTTTCTTTTCTCTTTGGGCCACACCCGGCGATGCTCAGGGGCCACGCCAGGTTTTGCATTCAGAAATTACTCCTGAAGGGGGCTGGAAAGATAGCACATAGGTCGGGCGTTTGCCTTGCACACGGCTGACCTGGGTTCGATTCCCAGCATCCCATATGACCCCCTGAGTACCTCCAGAAGTAACCCCTGTGCATTGCCAGGTGTGACCCAAAGAGAAAAAAAAATTACTCCTGAAGGTGCACAGCAGAGGGACCATATGAGATGCTGGGGATCAAACCCAGGTTGACCGTGTGCAAGGCTAACTCCATACCCACTGTGCTATCACTCAGGCCCCAGGGTGCATGTCTTTCTAAACTGACACCTGTATGTTACTGATGAAGAAACAGGGTCAGACGCTATGACAATCCTAGTTGGAAATGATCACTCTGGACAAGAGCTGAGTGCTGACCGGAGGTAAAGGATATACATGATAACCTTTCAGTATCTGTATTGCAAAGCATAATGCCCAAAAGGAAAGGGGGGGGAGAGTGAGAGAAGGGGGGAGGGAGGGAGAGGGAGGAAGGGAGGCAGAGAGAGAGAGAAGAAAAGGTTCTATCATAAAGGCAGGCTGGAGGCAGGAGTGGTGGTGGGAATGAAACTGAGGACATTGGTTGGGGGAAATGTACATCATGGGGAAGGGACAGGTGTTGGAACATTGTATGACTGAAACCCAATCATGAACAATTTTGTAACTGTGTATCTCACTATGATTCAATTAAAAAGTAGCACTGTAGGGGCTGGATCGATAGCCCAGCGGGTAGGGTGTTTGCCTTGCACGCAGCCGACCCATGGTTCGATTCCCAGCATCCCATATGGTCCCCTGAGCATCGCCAGGAGTAATTCCTGTGTATGACCCAAAAAAGCAAACAAACAACAAAAAAGTAGCACTGTAGTCTGATTTGCTTGAGCGGGCACCAGTAACGTCTCCATTGTGAGACTTGTCGTTACTGTGTTTGGCATATTGAATACACCACAGGGAGCTTGCCAGGCTCTGGCGTGCGAGCAGGATACTCTTGGTAGCTTACTGGGCTCTCCGAGAGGGATGGAGGAATTGAACCCGGGTTAGACGTGTGCAAGGCAAACGCCCTACCCACTGTGCTATCGCTCCAGCCCAATTAAAAAGTAAAGAGAAAAATGATTAAAATGTTTTAATTTTATATATATAAAAATTTTGATTTAAAAATTAAAAAGAAAAGCAGTACAAACAAATAAAAGAAATATGTTCTGAAAAGTCATGTCCCCACAGCTGAGAATTGGAGAACGGGGCTGTGAGTGCAGGTGCTGAAACAGGTGCTGGATGGTGTGGCTCTGTCTCTGGGCCTCAGTTTCCCTGTCTTCCGAGATAAAGGGAGCCTTCTACACAGTGAGGTGTCTTTACTTTTTTTTTATTTGTTTGTTTGTTTTTGGGTCCACCCCAGAGATGCTGAGGGGTTACTCCTGGCTCTGTGCTGAGGAATTACTCCTGGCGAGCTTAGGAGACCATGAGGGATACCAGGGATGGAATCTGGGTTGACTGTGTGCAAGGCAAATGCCCTCCCCCCCCTCCTTGATAGGACTCCAGCCCCGCGAGATGTCTTCTGACCAGCAGAGGGCTCCCCTCAACAGCAGACCCCCAGCCCATCCAGCAGGCCCTAATCCCACTGGGCAATGTTGGAAAAAGAAAAGAAGAAAATCTGAATCATTTAGAAGTTTCCCACAAGTGCTGACACCCCGGATAATTCCCCACTGCCCTTTGCCAAGTGGGATTCCCCCTCTCAACGTCCTCTCGTATGCAGACTTAAAAAAATCCCGGCAGAGAACATGCAAAACCAGAAACAAAACCTGTTGAATGCATGGAGGTGGTCTGGGGGCCACAGTAGGTGATGGGCAGAGTCAGTCGGTCCTGGAGGTGCTCTGGGGACCATATGTGGGACCGGGGATCAAACCTGGGTCTACTGCATGCAAGGCAAGTGTCCTACCCACTGTCCTATTGCTCTGGCCCATCTCTTTTGACTTTTGATTGTGGGTCCCCCCCCAGCAGGTTTTGATTGGTGCGGGGAGGGGCTTGAGTCACTGGGTGCCCCGCCCAGGGCACCTCTGTGGGCACAGCATGTGCTCTGCCCCTTGAGACATACCCCTGGCTCTCTCATCTTTCTAAAAAGGAAAGCCCTTTATTTTGTTACATTTAACTTTTGTTTAACACACTTGGCAGTGCTCAGGGGTCAACTCCTGACAGGACTTGGTGGACCATGTGTGATGCTGCTTGAACCAGGTGATCTGTGTGCAAGGGAGCACCCTACCCCAATATACTATTTCTCAGCCCTGTTTCTTTTGCTTTGTTTTGTTTTGTTTTGGGGGAGCCACACCTGGCAGTGCTCAGGGTTACTCCTAGCTCTGTGCTCAGGAATCACTCCTAGCAGTACTCAGGGGACCATATGGGATGCCCGGGATGGAATCTGGGCTGGCTGCATGTAAAGCAAGCACTCTGCCCTCTATCTACCCAGTGGCACATTTAATTAATTAGAAAATTTTTTTGCTTTTTGGGTCACACCCGGTGATACACAGGGGTTACTCCTGGCTCTGCACTCAGGAATTACTCTTGGCAGTGTTCAGGGGACCATATGGGATGCTGGGAATCGAACCCGGGTCAGCCGCATGCAAGGCAAATGCCCTACCCACTATGCTATCTCTCCAGCCCCTTAATTTATTTTTAGAAATTATTATTATATTATTATTATTTTGCTACACCCAGCTGTGTTCAAGGCTTACTCCTGGTTCTGTGCTCAGGGATCAGTCTTGACTAGGGTTCAAGGGACCATATAGAATGCCAGGAATTGGACCTGGGTGAGCTTCATGACAGGCAAAACCCCTTACTATTGCTCCAGCTTTCTTATTTTTATTTTTAGAGAACCCCCTGAGTTCTTAAATATCGGGACGATTAAGACTTTAATCAAATACACGGATTATTTCTTTAAAAAAAATACCCAACAAGTTCAAAACTTTCAAATAGGTTCTCAAACACCAGGGCCCGCAGGGACAGACTCGCCAGCCAAGTGGGCAGGAGCACGCGGTGCCACGGGGGTCCTGGCTGCCACATGGGAATGCAAGGCCCATTCCTGATGCTTCAGAAGAAGCAGGAAATCTGAGCTTTTATTAGTGGGCTGCCAATTTTTAAATGTTGGTAACTAATAAAAATAAATAAAAACCACCCCTGTTTTTGAGCCAAAAAAACAAAAAGTGACTCGGATGACCTTTTTCTCCTCTGTCCCTGACTCAGAGCCTGGCTCCTGGCGGTGTGTCCAGGGTCCAGCTCCCTGGGTCCCCTGCTCCCTGCCCACCCACCTCGCTGCTTCCTTACACACACACAGACACACACACAGACACACACACAGACACACAGACACAGACAGACATACACACACACACACACACACACACACACCAGTTCATTTAACCATGACAACTGAGCACGTGTGGGGCACTCGGGCCTAAAGCACCCGTCCTGTGCTCCTCCCCTGGGGCCACTGGCTGCTTCTGGCTGGCATTGCCTGATCCGCCTGGGCAGAGCTTCAGAATGCAACTTGGGTATAGCACCCCGAGGCCAGGCAGCAGGAACACGAGCCCAGAGACCCTGTACCTTTCCTAATTTGGGGAAAATCGGTGCTCCTAGCTGGGGCAGGGCACATGACAAATAGCACGATCTCAGAAGGGCTGTGGAAGAGGTAAGTTAAGGGCACATTGGAGACCCGGGTTTGATCCCTGGCACTGCGTGGCACCCCTCTAGCATGGCCAGGAGTGATCCTCAAGCACAGAACTGGAAGTAGGCTTAAGCACCACCAGTGTAGTCCTGGGAATGCCCCCATCCCCACCCCCCAAAAAAACTAAGCAAAAAAAAAAAAAAAAAAAGAGGGCCAGAGTGATAGTACAACATGTAGGGCATTTGCCTTGCACACAGCTGACCCGGGTTCAATCCCCGGCATCCCATAGCACATTGCCAGGAGTAATTCCTGAGTGCAGAGCCAGGAGTAACCCCTGAGCATCGCTGGGTGTGACCCAAAAAGCGAAAAAGAAAAGAAAAGAAAACAAAAAGGAAAAGAAAAGAGCAAAGTCACAGAAGTTTAAGTTGCTGCTGCTGAGCCGGTTAAATTGTCCAAGAATCTCTCTGTCCCACCTCTGGCCGAGTGGAATCCCACTGGGGACCTGGATGTGTCCAGCATCTCCATGCTGGACTCTGGGCCAGCGGAGGAAGGACACTGCTTCGGCTCGCACTGGGCTGGTTCCAGGGGCCTGGGAGCAGCAGCTGGAGCGAGGCTGGGGGCTGGGCGGGAATCTCATGGCTTCTCTTATCACTGGCGCTGAGAGCCACCAAATCCGGATCAAACCGTCTGTGTGCCAGGCCTTTCCCAACAATCATTTCATGTTAGTTCCCAGACCCGCTGCGGGGGGAGGCTTCTCACCCCACACTTGGAGGAAACAGATGTGCAGACGGGCAGGGGTGGCCAGGCCCTCCTGCCCGCAGACGGCAGCCTCCTCGCTGCCCAGACCAGGTCCCACGCATGCTCTCGACGGCAGGCCCCTGGGTCCACCGGGGAAGTCTGACTCCAAGGGTGGGGCGTGGGACCTGAATCTTTAAGGTGCTTCCAGACAATTCTAGGAACAGTCAGTTTGAAGGGGAACCCCATGAACAACTACTTGGTATCCCTGTTTGAAGCAAAATTTATCTTTATTTTTGGGCTATGCCCAGCGGTTCTCAGGGGCCAACTCCTAGCTCAGTGCTTGGGGCCATTTCTGATGAAGATTGGGGGAACTATCTTGTGCTGGGGGGGGCAGAGGGAAGTGGGGATGGAGCCCAGGGACTCCAGTGTATACACATAAGCTCAGACAGTCCAGGACCCCAGAATATTGGCTCAGGCGCTGGAGAGATAGTACAGTGGGTACCACCTGGCACTCAGTCAACCTGGGTTTGATTCTTGGCACCCCATATGATTCCCTGAGCCCACCAGGAGTGAACCCTGGGTGCAGAGTCAGGAGGAACTCCTGAGCACTGCTTGGGTGCTCCCCAAAACAAAGAACAAACAAGAAGACTGGCTCGAATTTCATCTGACCTAGTCTAGTTAGTGTCCCGAGGAAGGGATGCTATCTCCTTTCTTCTTCTTCTGTCTATATTTTGCTTCTTTGGGCCACACCCAGCGATGCTCAGGGCTTACTCCTGACTCTGTGCTCAGGAATTACTCCTGGCAGTGCTCAGGGGACCCCGTGGGATGCCAGGGAATCGAACCCTGGGTCAGCCAGGTGCAAGGCAAATAAATGCCCTCCCCACTGTGCTATTGCTCTGGCCCCGTCCTCTCTTCTTCTTCTCTGCCCTGAATTAAGGGCAAAAGTCTCACACGGGCCAGGATGAGAGCTGCGGGCACGGGAAAAGACGAGCCATCTGGAGCCCCAGCTCAAGTTTCTCGAGATGAACACATTCCCACCCCAGACATGCCCGGCTGTGCTGGGTGGGGACACTCAGTGGCCGAGGGGCGTGGGGGCGGGGCCTGTGGGAAGCTAGCAGGCCCCTGCAGGCAGGCGGGGGACCCCTGGGGGCCTGACTGTGGGCGTTGGAGGGCTGTGCAGAGGGTCCACCGCCTCTTTGCTTCCCCTGGCCTGTCCCGCACCCGATGGACATGCACTGGAGCGGGTGAGGACGCGGGCCGCTGGACACGGCTGCTCCCTGACCCCCAGGGATTAAGTGGGTGACTGTGCTTTCTCTCCACTCGCCATTCCTGGGACACATACCACCCCCCTCCAAGGTGTGGGCTCACTCACCTTCTCGATGACCCCGACCACCCTGCAGCCCCTTAGCTGCTCGGGGGCTGAGCTCAGCGTGCGGATCGGCCGGAGCCTCAGGCTGCTGAAGCCCTGCGAGGGGAGACAGTGTTCAGGGCCCAGTGCTCAGGGCTCAGTGCTCTGGGATGGTCGGTCCCTAATCCCTGGCAGTGGGCCATGCCCTGTGGCTGCCGGGCAAATGCGGGCAGGACTGGGCACAACCCCTCCCGGGCACAGGCTGAGTGGGCACCCTGAGTGGTCACTCTTCACTGAGTAAAGGGACTGACCAGGCCTCCAGGGCCTGAGGAATTGTTGGCACTTCACTGGGAAACAAGGGGGCCCCTGAGAATAGGCTTCAAAGGCCAGGGAACTGGCTTGGTTTCGAACCAACACCCAACGGGCCTACTCCTGGCTTGGTGCTCAGAGGGGCGAGGGGTGGAAGCCAGGTCGCCCACATGCTCAGCCTTCTGAGCTCTCTAAGGGGCCATGCTTAGGGGGAAGTCGCCTTAGGAGATGGAGGGAGCCTTAGAGTGGCCCTTGGGCAAGTCCACCCAAGCCCAGGGCAGGAGGCAGGTGCCTGGACCATTACCCTCCCTGAGCACCTGCTGGGCAGAGAACAGCGGCATGGGAGCATGCGTGTCCATGTGTGTACGCACACATGTGTGTGTGCGTGCATGTGTGTGTGTGTGCGCACACGTGCATTTTTGTGTGAGCGCGCACGTGAGTGTGCGTGTGTGCACGTGCGAGTGAGTATGTGTGTGCACGCGTGCGTTTGTGTGTGCGTGTGCATGTGTGTGAGTATGTGTGTGTGTGTGCGCGTGCGCGCACAGCTGCTCCAGACTCTGAGTCCCCCTCCGAGCACCAGGCCCACCTCACTGGCCTGAATTTGCGACTTTTCCATGCCCAATTGCCATCCCAGTCACCGCCACAACCACAAAAAGGGAAGTTTTCCTTTTTGGAGGCAGTGAAGCGGCAGTGGGCTGGGGAGACCGAGCGTGCCCAAGGTGGAGGTGAGGTGCTAAAGGAGGGAACCCCAACCCGCCGTGGCCCTCTGGCTTGGGGCACGCCCTCACCGTGCCGGGGCTGGCCCCATGGCCCAGGGGCCTCTGCAGGTGGCAGTTGAAGATCTCCTCCGCCCGCCGCAGGTACTTGGCGATCTTCAGCTTCACTGCCTCGCAGCGCTCCTTGTTGGGGTCCACTGTAAGGGAATAGGGGGCTCAGAAGCTGGACACCTGGTCCAGCCCTGATACGCTGGGTGTCCGCCGCCCGCCCTCTGCTCTCGGAAGGAAGGGCATCACAGATGGTGTCCTCCAAAGTGCCCACACCGCTCCTCTGGGTGTTCATTGCCCTCCTTTAGGGAGGCCGTGAAGAGTTGGCTGGACACCCCCACAGCACACTGGCCCCTCCCCGCCCGGCCTCACCATGCATGCTGCGGAGCAGAACGTCCACCCCGGGCAGCAGCAGAGAGCGCAAGTGACCTGGCCAAGGGCTGGGTTCCATGGCCCCGAGCCGCGGCATTTCACTGTGGCCCACACCCACAGGGAGAGCTGCAAGGGAAATTCCCATGGTCACTGCTCGGAGGAGGCAGGGGTGGGTGCACCCAGAGAGCAGACCCCCTGCCCCCCTCGATGCCAGAGAGGGAAGGGGGGCAGCAAGTGGAAGAACTCACAGGGCAGGTTTGACGCCCGTGTTCGAGGGGCTTGTACAGGAAGGTACGAACTGGGAATTGGGACCCACTACTACTCCTGCTGGAGCGATAGCACAGCGGTAGGGAGTTTGCCTTGCACGCAGCCGGCCCAGCTAAGCCGGGTTCGATTGCTCCACCCCACAAGCTACCAAGAGTATCTCGCCCACATGGCAAAGCCTGGCAAGCTCCCCGTGACGTATTTGATATGCCAAACACAGTAACAACAAGTATCACAATGGAGACGTTACTGGGCCCGCTCAAGCAAATCAATGAACAACGGGAGGACAGTGCTGCAGTGCTACTACCCCTGCTGCCAGGGGTCCCTGCTGGCCATGAGTCAGCCTCTGCCCCCTGCTGGCCGCTGCTCACCTGGGCTTCAGGCCCCTGGCCCCTCAGGCCTGTCTGCTTTCTCTCTGGCAGAACAATGAGACTCTTGTACACTCTGCTCAGAAAATGGTCTAGGCTGGCTTAGCCTGGCCTCAGTTTCCCTCTGGTTTCTTTTTATGCCTTCCCTTTTTTTGGGGGAGGGGAGGAAATGGGGGAAGGGGCATGGGTTTGAGCCACACCCAGTGGTGCTCAGAGTTATTCAAGGCTGCAGATGGCTATGGTTACAAGCCCTGCCACTGTCTTCTCTCCAGCCTGTCAGTTTCCTCTTGCTCTTCCTTTGCCCTTCTCATTGCTTTTCCTGCCCGGGACCATAACTACCCATCAACGTGGGTCCTTTTCTCCTATGTGAAGTCAAGCTTCCTGAGGACAGGAGTCAGCTAGAGGGGCGGGCAGGCTTCGGGGGTCAAGCATAGACTGGAGCGTAAAGTGTTCAACCCCCTGGTTTTTGTTTGTTTGTAATTTTGATTTTATTTTGGTTTGGTGGGGGGGCCATACCTGGCAGTGCTCAGGACTTATTCCTGGCTCTGTACTCAGGGATCACTCCTGTCAGGCTCAGGGAACCATATTGGGTGCCAGAGACAGAACCTGGGTTCAACACCCTACCCGCTGCACTATCACTCCGGCCCCATCGGCCCCATCCCCCTCTGCTGTTTTGACACTCGTAGCTGGGGAGCTTTGATTGCCTGGGGCCTCAGTTTCCTCACCTAGATCACCTAGCAAATCGGAATATAAAGTAGCTCTGGCTGGGCCAAGGAGGGGGCTCAGGGATAGAGAACATGCCTGGCACATGTGAGGTCCCGGGCTGGACCCGTATCTCACATGTGCCAATCAGCATCCCCACAGCAGCCCCTCATTCATGGGACCTACACGTGACAACCGATTCAGGAGCCTGGGTCACTATGAAGCTGCCGCGGGGTGAGCCGGGGTGGGGTGGGGTGGGGGGGTCCTACAGGAGCCGGCAAACAGTCACTCACGGTTGCTTATACCCTCCTTTGGGGAGGCCGTGAAGAGCCGGCAGAGTGGCCGGACACTCCCATGGCCCGCTGGCCTCTGCCCACCAGGCCTCACCATGCACACCGCGGAGCAGCACGTCCACCCCGTTCTGGTAGTGGTTGAAGGCGGCCTCGTAGTCCTCACTCACGTCCCGCTCCAGGGCCAGCCGGATCTGCGTGGCCGCGTCCACCAGGTAGTCACGCTTGGTCACATCAGCTCCTCCTGGGGCCACCCGGCTGCGAATCTGTTCTAGGTACTCGCGGGCCTGGGACCGAGGTCGCGAGCAAGGCTCGGGCTCTGGGCCAGGGCTGGCTGGGCACTCACAGGCTACCAGGCTCATGACTGCTGCCCCCGCGTCGGGGGTGGACCTGGGACAGACACAGGCATGAGGGAAGTCGGAGCTGGAATATCACTCATGTGCACCCAAGTTGCATTCACTGAATATGGGGGAGACTGTAAGGTTTGGACTGGGGAACGATAGTACAGCGGGGAGGGCATTGCCTAGCACATGGTTGACCCAGGTTTAATCCCCGGCATCCGATATGGTCCCCCGAGCACTGCCAGGAGTAATTCCTGAGTGCAAAGCCAGGAGTAACCCCTGTGCATTGCCGGGTGTGACCCCAAAACAAAATAAATAAATAAATAAATAAAACAAAGATGTAAGGTCTGTCCTAAGGTGGGTAATGGCCACTAAGCTACCACTGTGCTATGGATGGATAGAAATCACTGAACAAGAAAATGGCATGCGTGGGGCTGTTTTCCCTCCAATGCAAATTGTTTTGTATTTCTTGAACACCTACTATGCACAGAGCACAGGAGAGAGTGCAGGACATGGACACTGGTAATGCTTGGCCACCTTCCTGGAGCAAACGGCATCTAGCCCACTCTGCGTATGCTCCCTGCCCTCTGAGCCTGAGGCTGGGACCCGGGGTGGGAAGGTGGGAGCCCTGGGTAGGTTCCTCACGCGGTTCCCTCTGCCTGCTGCTCCTGCAGAATCCCAGCTCAGTCCGGGGGAACCCATGAACCAGGACACTGTGGCCCTGCCTTGTTTCCATTCCCTGGATCCAGTCATCAGTGTGGCAAGAGTGTGCGGTGCTGCCAGGGTCCCTGCAGTGGCTGGCCACAGAGCCTGGCCCTGAGGATTCCAAATGGAGTTCAGGAAAGAGGGCAGGACCAGCCCGGCCCAACCAGGAGATGCCTCTCTGGCCTCTGACGCTGCTAGGACCAACAGCACCCTGCCCCAGCAGCCAGCTCCAGGGGCCAAGGGGACCAGCGAGCGCCAGGGCTGCAGCGAAGGAAAGGGCTTTGTGGGACCAGCCCGAGCGGTGACGCTAATGGCAGCTTGCGCCCCTTTGCTCCCTAAGGCTCCCCTGGGCAGAGGCAGGGCCTGAACTTGAGGGAGAGCAGCCAGCACCTTCCCGGCTCCGCCTGGCCCAACCCCAGGGTCCCTGGAGACGCGGGGACACGCAGCCCTGCCTGTGCGCAGATATTCTTAGGCCACAGATGCTGAGCTGCTCGAGGCAACGAGGCAACTGCATCCTGGCGGGGTGAGGGGGTCACTGGTAGTAGCCCACCTTGGTCCAAGGAACATCGGTTCCGATACTGAATTGGATCCCTGGCAAGCAAGGTGTACCCTTTCTCCGCCTGCGCACCTCCCCCCGCCCCTTCCCATTCCCGCAGAGATCAGGCCCTTGGGGCAGTGAGACAGGAAACATCCTTCCCCGCCTGGGTGAAGGGGAGAAAGGACCATCACCATACCTGCCCGGTCCACCGGTCCACCGGCCAAACCTATCCTTGCAGGGCAGTGAGCTCAGCTTTCTGCTCTCCAGTCAGGTGCAGGGGTCTAGGGGGATGCAGCTCTGCCATTGGCTGCAGATGAGCTCACCCTCTAGCCATTAGAATAAACCACCAATCAGCGCTTGACTGGGCTTGGGTGAGGTTGGGGTGGGGCGTGCGCCTTAAAGCTGTAGTATCCTGGTGGGAACACAAGGGACGGATGGGGCTAGAGGGGGCTGGAGAGTACTGGGGGAGGTGGATGAAGAGGTCCACACTCTGCCAGGGTTACCAAAAGGGCGTTGCCCAAAATCTAGGCTGACTCAAGGGCACACACGCTACTTGTGGGACTTTTATTTCTGCAACTATTCCGAAAGTCTGCCCTGAGCGCCTCTCTGTGCTGAGATGGAATCCCCCCCATCCGTGCTTGATGCTCACCAGGGCCTGCAGTCTGGCAAGGGGGATGGTCTAAAGAATTAAGGATCAGGACCCAAGAGATAGTATAGGAAGTAAGGCACTTGCCCTGCAGGCCACGGGCCTGGGTTCCATTCTTGGCACCACATAGGGTCCCCTGAGCACCACCAGGAGTGATTCCTGAGTACAAAGTCAGAAGTAAGCCTGAGAACTGCTAAGGGTGACTCCCAGAACTTCCAGTTCCCCCTTCTCCCCTGAAAAGAAGTAAAGAACTTCGTTTTGATTGTGATCAAAGCTGTGAAGGAGGGTGTCCCAGCTGGGGCTCAGAAGGCTTTCTGGGGGGAGGGGTACCTGAGGCCCCATCTCAGCCTCTCCCAGGCACTCGACTTCCCCTTTAACACCCACCCCTTCCTTCCTTTCTTTCTTTCTTTCTTTCTTTCTTTCTTTCTTTCTTCCTTTCTTTCTTCCTTCCTTTCTTCCTCTCTCTCTTTTTTTTGGGGGGGTCACACCCAGCAATGATGCACAGGAGTTACTCCTGGCTCATGCACTCAGGAATTACTCCTGGTGGTGCACGGCGACCATATGGGTTGCTGGGAATCGAACTCAGGTTGGCTGCGTGCAAGGCAAACGCCCTACCCACTGTGCCATTGCTCCAGCCTTCCACCCTTTTCTTGATTCCCATCTCTTTCCCTGGTTCCTCTCTCAGTCTGAAAGTTGCTTTTCCTTCCCTTGAGAACGTGAGAGCACAGACACAGTCCTGCCCTTTGCCTCTCCCCTTATTTCATGGATGTGCCTTGCCAAAGCCTGGGATCCTGCCTGGGCTCAGTCCTGACTTGTCCTGTCCCCCAGGCAAGGACAATGCTCCTGCCTCTGTCACCTCACTCCTCTCATTCATTCCTGGCTCTGCTGGATAATTCCTACAACTCCTACTGACAATACTTTCTCCCGGCTTCAAAGCAAAAAAAAAAAAAAAAAAAGACAAAAGCAAATCACCCATCTCTACTTCCTCCCCTTACGGGTCTCATTTTGCTGCAAAATGCCCAGAGTTACTGTGGCTGCGTGTGGTCATGGTCCAGCTCCGTGGACATTCTTCCTCCACCTTCCTCGGAGCAGCCCTCAGTCGAGTTCCCGGTGGCCTCCCGCCCTAACCCCATGGACGTTTGTCGAGCCCCAGCATCTTTTACTCGGACTCTCCCGACCCGGGGCCCACCTGCTCTTTTCTGTGTACTTCCCTCTCATGCTCCACCCCCGTTCCCATCGCCTCCTATCCTACTGGCTTCTGCCTGGAAGAGTCCCATGGCATGTGCCTGCACTATCTTCCTTCCCTCTGCCCTCATGTGGAGTGAGGATGACGTCAAGTCTCACAGTTCTGCTCATTGGTGGCCTCCTTCTCCCCCAGCCTTGGGTGACCAAGGCCTACACACCTGGCCTTGGTGCTCGTTGGGGGTCACCCGTCAGCTTGTGGCACTGGCACACTCAGCTGCAGAGCCTACCATTGGGTGTCCCCCTTTAGATACAGGGCTTGCACGTGTGCTCACCAGGGGATGTACTTACTCAGTCACAGTGCTTGAACATTGTATTATTATTATTTTATCATTATTATTATGGGCTGGAGCGATAGCACAGAGGGTAGGACGTTTGCCTTCCCCACGGCCGACCCCAGTTCGATTCCTCCGGCCCTCTCAGAAAGCCTGGCAAACTACTGAGAGTATCTTGTCTGCACGCAAAGCCTGGCAAGCTCCCTGTGACATACTCGATATGCCAAAAAAATAATAATAGCAACAAGTCTCACAATTTGTTATGAGACGTTACTGGTGCCCGCTCGAGCAAACCGATGAACAATGGGAGGACAGTGCAGAACAGTGCATTATTATTATTAGGTAGAACCAATAATCAATCCTGGCCCTCCACCTTCACAGCATGTGCTCTCCCCCGGCCATGCCCCTAGCCCAGGGGCATCTTCTCAGTCCTGATGTTCACCAACTGCTCCCGTGTGTGCTGGGAACAGCAGTGTTAGGGGTCACAGGCAGAAGAACTGTCCCTGTCATGCCATGCTCGCTGCATGTAGGAGTAGGGACTTCGAACTTGGGGCCATAGGCTTGCCCCTGCATTATTCCTTGAGGCCACAGAAACATCCTACAGGGAAATGGATATTCAGGATCTTGCACATAAGTCCTCTCTCTCCCCTGAGCCAGATCTCTGGCAATTGAGCTCATGATTTTATTTTATTTTATTTTGCAGAGGAGGGCATGCCCAGAAATGCTCAGGGCTTAAAATCCTGGCTCTGCACCCAGGGATTACTCTTGGCAGGAATCACGGAACTGTGTGGGGTAGATCAAACCTGGGTTGGCTGAATGCAAGATAAGCACCCTACCCGCTGTGCTGTCTCTCTAGCTCCTCCAAGATCATGATTTTAAATTGTTTTCTTCCAGTTTTGATGCTTCTGTATCTCTTAGATATACAGATATCATACATCTCCTATTTCTTCTTAGTCCTCTACCAGGTTTAAGCACAAAGCACCTGCAGCTGAACAAACCAAGGGCAAGACAGATAGTACTGGGGGAAAGGTTCTTGTCTTGTATGTGACTAATCTGGGTTTGGATCCCCGGCACCCCATAAGGTCCCCCAAGCCCCACCGGAGTGATCCTTGAGCGCAGAACCAGGAGTAAGTCCTGAACACAGCTGGGTGTGGCCCTAAAACAAACAAACAAAAAGTCCAGAATTAAACTTTTGAAACAAATTCTATGGAATTGGAGAAAATATTTGCCAATCATATCTGATGAGTTTAGTATCCAGAATATAGAAGGATGTTTTATAACTCAACAACCAAAAGAATTTAAAAATGGACAAATGGCTTTAGATAACTCTCTAAAGAAGATGTACAAACGGCCAATGAGCACGTAAGAGGCACACATCATTAGTCATTTGGGAAAGTCATGAAAAGTACAATGGGAGGGGCTGGAGAGATTACCCAAGGGCCAGAGAGCACATCAGTGTGGGAGCCCCAGGAGTGGGGCGATTCTCTCTGCTTCAGGGTCCTCTAAGCACCACCTGGTGTGTGTGGCCTTCAGTACTGCAACACACACACACATACACACGCACACAAACACAAACATCCTCCCATCACCACCCTCCCCAACCTCACCATGAGAGATTACC